TATTGATAAGTTAAATTTATGTGTCAGTCAAACAAATTAAATCCATGTACATACTCTAAGGTATATTTGCCATGTGGGCCTGTCTGAAAATGGGGTACGTCCCCAAAAAGCCTTCAATAGGGAAAATGATGATAAGCCATTGGATTTGGGGTAAATCCCTAAACTCCACCTGGATCACTTTCGGTCGATCCTCCCAATGGCTTCTATTGAAACTGGCTTTTCCCAGTAAACTCCACGAATTTTCCATGGTAGCCTCTGGCAATGACGGATTCCCCTCATGGATTATGATTTATCCCCCAATTTCAACCCCTCTGAAAAATATTAGTCCGTTGGGATTATATTTCGGACTGGTGACTTAGGACTTAGGCCACCATAGTGACATAGGAATTTGTGCACCAAGTCCTAAGTCACTGGTGTTCTTACCAGGTGATTTGTGTGCACCAAGTCCTAAGTCACTGGGGTTGTGATTGGATTCAAGCACACTTTTTAAGTTAAAAAAAAAATCTTCTCTGAATAAGTCATCAGAATCTACATACTTACAGAACATTACAGTACAGTACAATTACATCACTACAATACAGTAGTAAGTACAGTACATTACACTACAGTACATTACATTACATTACAGCACATTACAGTACATTATATTACATACATGCACAGGACTTGGTGCACAAAATCGTATGTCACTAGAGGGGCACAAGTCCTAAGTCACCAAAACCTACATACTTACAGTAAAGTACAATACATTACATTACATTACACTACAGTACATTACATTACAGTACGGTACATTACAGTACATACATGCATAGGACTTGGTGCACAAAATCGTATGTCACTAGAGGGGCACAAGTCCTAAGTCATCAGGACCTACATACTTACAGTACATTACAGTACAGTACAGTACATTACACTACAGTACATTACATTACATTACAGTACAGTACATTACAGTACATACATGCAAAGGACTTGGAAATCGTCTGTCACCAGATTAGATTAGATTAGATTAGATAAGATTAGATTATATTTCAAGCGAGTGACTTAGGACTTGTGAAAGATACCCTGGTGTGGCCAAGTCCTATCTCATCATGCGTCGGACCCCCCCGGCACAAGTCCCAACTCATCAGGTGTCCGACGAGATTAGAAACTATGTTTGATTTTTTTTAGTGCGGCATGGACCACTTGTAAAACCATGATGACATAGGAATGAACTAGCAGAAATATATTAAGATGATCCTAAGTCATCACGCTCGTGCGCTGCAGCACTTTTTAAGTTAAAAAAAATCTTCTCTGAATAAGTCATCAGAATCTACATACTTACAGAACATTACAGTACAGTACATTACATCACTACAATACAGTAAAGTACAGTACATTACATTACACTACAGTACATTACATTACATTACAGTACGGTACATTACAGTACATACATGCATAGGACTTGGTGCACAAAATCGTATGTCACTAGAGGGGCACAAGTCCTAAGTCACCAAAACCTACATACTTACAGTAAAGTACAATACATTACATTACATTACACTACAGTACATTACATTACATTACAGTACGGTACATTACAGTACATACATGCATAGGACTTGGTGCACAAAATCGTATGTCACTAGAGGGGCACAAGTCCTAAGTCACATTGTGGTCCCCATTGCACTACCCCGTCGTTGGGTCGAAGTCCTCGTAATGTAATGTACCGTACTGTAATGTAATGTACTGTAGTGTAATGTACTGTACTGTACTGTAATGTACTGTAAGTATGTAGGTCCTGATGACTTAGGACTTGTGCCCCTCTAGTGACATACGATTTTGTGCACCAAGTCCTGTGCATGTATGTACTGTAATGTACCGTACTGTAATGTAATGTAATGTACTGTAGTGTAATGTAATGTAATGTATTGTACTTTACTGTAAGTATGTAGGTTTTGGTGACTTAGGACTTGTGCCCCTCTAGTGACATACGATTTTGTGCACCAAGTCCTATGCATGTATGTACTGTAATGTACCGTACTGTAATGTAATGTAATGTACTGTAGTGTAATGTAATGTACTGTACTTTACTGTATTGTAGTGATGTAATGTACTGTACTGTAATGTTCTGTAAGTATGTAGATTCTGATGACTTATTCAGAGAAGATTTTTTTTAACTTAAAAAGTGCTGCAGCGCACGAGCGTGATGACTTAGGATCATCTTAATATATTTCTGCTAGTTCATTCCTATGTCATCATGGTTTTACAAGTGGTCCATGCCGCACTAAAAAAAATCAAACATAGTTTCTAATCTCGTCGGACACCTGATGAGTTGGGACTTGTGCCGGGGGGGTCCGACGCATGATGAGATAGGACTTGGCCACACCAGGGTATCTTTCACAAGTCCTAAGTCACTCGCTTGAAATAATTATTCCTGATATTATATGGAAAAAAAATGTTCCAAACCACCAACCAGTGTTGGTTGGTGTAATATGATGACCCCTATAATTGATGAATCAACCAACAGGGGGTTCAAACAATGCTCATGATATCATTCCCAACTCGAAAGTGCAGTTCCAGCTATGATAGATATAAAACATATAAAAGTTTTTAAACAAAAGTTGCGTATATCCCAACTTATGGGGGTTAATTTTTCATGGTAATAGCCATGAAAGTAAAGTCAACTGCACTCCCAAGTAGCTATGTCGGTGTACAATCTCATTCCTAAACTGGTGGCAACCATGGTACCCCTAAATCATCCATGTGATTTCGGATGTTCAAAAAAAGTCTTCAATAAAACCATCCAGCCATTGGATGCTACCACCATTTACATCTGGGAAACCCTCATAATCCCCCAGTGGGTGAATTATGACAATTCACTAACCTGAATTAAGGCTATTGTGGGATAATGTCCCGTATACTAAACATCATTCCAGTCAGGTCGCAGTGAGGTCGTTGGAATTTACCCAGCTGCGGGGCACCACTACCTTTCTCCACGTCCCCGCCTTCATCGGCCATCATCCTGGCCCGTGCTCGGTCATCCGCTGCCAGGGCCGCTGAGGAGGCGGCAGCCAGCAAAATGAGCTGCGCCACGTCGTGGCCTGGCTTTTGGTGGGCCATGGGAAATCATAGGGAAATGAAGGGGAAATGATGGATTTTTTTTGGAAGAAGCATGGGAAAACCGAGCGGAAAACAAGACTTGTCCTTTTTTGCAGAGGAATAGAGGGGAGGGTCTGGTCTATTGATTGTAAAGGGTGGTTGACCCCTTTTCTTACTCAACTCACTTAGTAGGACAGGGACATCTATGTCAAAGACGCTACTCAACAAAAGTCGTGGGAAGTGGTGGGAATAAATGAGTGATTGGTTGCAACTTGAGTGAGGTGTATCCCATAGGAATGGAATTATCCGAATGAAGGTTGCGGGGTTCACGTGAAGCTCTTCCTCCTGTTTCGCTGCAGCTGTTTTTGAACCACCTGGTACACTTTGGCACTGTTCTGTTTTGTCAAAAATGGGGGTTTCCTGAAATAGGGGTACCCGTAAATCATCCATTTTAGTAGGATTTTCCATGATAAACCATCCATTTTGGGGTGATCCCCCATTTGCCGCAAAAATTGAAACAAAAATTGAACTTTTTCCAAGCGCACGGCCCTCAAACAATGAAATCACTCAATCACTAACAGTTGTGGTGACGCCAAAATTGAACTTTTTCCAAGCGCACGGCCTCCAGATACGAATTTTACGAGCTGATACGACTTAACGCTAGCACTTGTACCCCCATTTTAGGAAACCTCCAAATGTATCCGGTCAATAGTTGACCCATGTCAACTGCTTCTTCTTAAAGTCTACAGAAGCCAAACGCCATGACAATTCTCTCTCTGAATCGTGGTAGGCTGCATTTTTAATTTTTGTCAGATCCAGCATCGAGCAACAGCTGGACTGCTTCCAAGCAGCCTCGCAAAGCTGAGACATGCAGTGCTGTTTTTCCATCTCGTGCAGCCGCGTTCACATCAGCTCTAGCCTTCAGCAACACGTTCACCACTTCACCACCACCTCGTGCATGTGGAATTGGAAAATCCTTAAAACCGAAAGAAGGACTCCTGACCCTGACGGCACAGGCGGCGAGATGCAAAGGTCTGGCACCTTCAGCCTTCAGCACTTGTTACGTCCTTGTCTACATCCTGGAGCAAGAGCCGCATTGCTCTCACATGTCCAGACCATGCTGCGCCATGCAACGCTTTTAATCCATGCAAGGTTTCAGTGTCAAAGACTGCGTTCTGGTCAGCTCCAGCTGCTCAGAGAAATCTCACCACTTCCGAATGGCCATACGACACAGCCTCATGTAAAGCTGTTAAACCTTTTACCGCATTGCCATGTGGCACTGACGCACAAGCTGGCATCAACGTTGGCATTAACACCCAAGGTGGCGATGCCACCTTGGGTGTGAATGCTGCATCGATGTCTGCTCCAGCTTCAGCTAGCAATCGCACCATTTCCAAGGAGCCACGCTCAGCTGCCATGTACAAAGGTTTATTACTGTATATATAATTCTCAGGGGCATAGTTGGCATAGTTCTTGTCTGCTCCAGCCTCCAGAAACAATTGCACAGCTTCCAAGCTGTCACAGAGCGCTGCCACAAAAAAGTGATCGCGGTTTGGGTTGGCTCCAGATGCCGCCAAGAATTTCAACACATGGAAGTGACCACGTTCCACCGCAAAATCCAAGGCTGTCTTCCCATGTTCAGCCCTGGCTTCCAACAGCAGCTACAGTACAGCACTTGTAAGTGGCCCCCTTTAGCTGCGGCGTGAATGGGAATGTTGCCACCACTGCCGTTGGGATCCTGTGGTTCTTGAAGAAGCTTCTCGACTCTGCCAGTACGATTCTTTCTGCATGCACGCATGAGTTCTTTCTGGGACCGTTCATCCGCCACAAAATCTAAAATGACCAGTTGCATACTTACCACGGATGCCAAGGGCATGTCATCCTCCAGCTGGCCGATACCATCCACTAGAAGCCTTTGCCGAAACCTTGAGAAGCCAGTCTCGGTTGCAAGCACCTGCTTAAGGTCTTTCACAGATCTGCCATCGTCCACCATGCGCGCATACAGGTCCTTATAAAGCTCAGCCAGAGTATCACCAGACAATGCAGTGATCTGCACCATTGGAGGATGTTCCTCACATAGACCTGTGCTGGGGATGTTCCAAACCCGCTTTGCGTAGGAAACGGTGTTCCAAACAAAAACATACCTCCTTTCCTGTCCATTTGTGCATGTATATTATAATAGATGCATGTATACATATATATGCATATATCGATTTATTATGTATTTATCTATTTATTTATTTATCTATTTATTTATTGTTACTATCTATTTATTTACTATGTTATATGCTTTAGTTACATATGCTCAAAGGCTCTAATGTCGTATCTTCAATTCGAACGCTCTTGATGAAACCCGGATTTGCAGCCCTGTGTCGCTCAGTGAGATGCGTTTAAAGCTGCCAAATGAGCCAGAGGAGGTCTGGACAACTGGAGTGTAATTTTGCACCTCCCCAATCTGTCGAGGCCCCAGAAAGGCTACAAGCTTTGAGTGTTGCAGATTGCAGAATTTGCGAGCCCTGCAAAATGGTTTGTTCTATCTTACTCTGACACGAGTTGGTGCGAGGGCCCAATTTGTGGACATGGTGTTGTTTATGTATAATATACATATTTATATATATATATTATAAGCTGGTTTATAACTCTGATAGGTATATCTACCATAAATCTAGTTGTTTTGGGTTCTAAGCCAACTTAGCTACCCTCCGGCAATCAAACGTGGCAATGGAAAATCCATCATGCACAGATGACTGTCCCATTAAAACCTCCTTTTATCGCTATGGGGCCCCACCTTATAAATTGTTCTATGCGGATCTCTAATGCCCTGCCTTGTGTGGTAAACCCTCCGGTAAACGAACAGTTTGCTATTGAAAATGACCCATCGAAAGTTCGTTGATTTACCTACTGGTAAGATGACATAATATTACCATGGGACCATAAATGTTTGGGATTTTTTAAGCATCCCCTTCTATGGTAGTTCTATGGAATTGGGTGAATCCTACAATATCAGCTACTTGGAGGATTTCTCCCACGAATGGTAACTGGTTAAGAATCATATTCATCATAACCCAGTTATATAAATGGAGGTTTCCTGAAATGGGAAATCACCCCAAATGGTTGGTTTATAATGGAAAATTCTATTAAAATTATTTAAATAGATGATTTAGGGGTACCCCAAACCACTTTTCATGGGGACTTCCTAGGGTTATGAACCACTTACGATCGGCCTAGTCCTCCAAGTACCTGTTGGTGTCTCCTACTAGTGCAGTTCCGTTTATAAGTGGATATATCGCAAAAAAACATGGCCATATATGGCCATACTATGCGAAAAAATATGAGTTTTAGTGCTTCTCATGTAGAATTCCAATTAATTACCATCTGGTTATTTAACATAGCCATGGAAAATCACCATTTTTAATAGCTAAACCATCTATAAATGGGCCATTTTCCATGGCTATGTTAAATAACCAGATGATATATACAATCATGATCCCCCAGTTTTGGGATATCCCAACCGAACCAAACCCCCAACCGACCTGCGCTGCGCGCCGCGCCCAACGTCTGCTGCACCAATTCTTGGGCCTCCGAGACACGTTGCAACGCCAAATTCGCCAGGGATTGGAGGCCTTAGCCACAGAGAAGCCCCTGGCATAGTCTAAAATAGTGACTGGTTTATAACATTAGTTAGACTATAGATATAGTCTAACTAATGTTTTATAATATCAATAGTCCCAAAATCTAAAAATAGTCATTATAACATTATATCATATCTAAAACACTATTTTACTGACTGGTAGATGTATATAGATGGATATTACTAACCACTAGTTCTAAACCCAATATCGGATATAGATGGATATGACCGGTAGATGTGTATAGATCTGTATAGATGGATATAGTAAGTGATGTAGAGCCAATATCTAAAATAATGACTCTATAATATCCAAAAAAAGAAGGTAGAAAAGTTAAAACCAGGAAAGTATGGCAAAAACATCATCGAAGTATCACGCTCCAAATACTGGTTACTATAAACTGATTCCTACTTCTGATGTTTATATAAACTGCACTGAAAACTCCAAGATGAAGCATGACAACAATGGCCCACTTGCAATTGTTCATCATCTTCCAAGCTGAAACGTGAGGATGTTCCAATCCAGTGTCCCAGGGCTGGGTCCCATGAGGGTTCTTGTTGGCCTGGGATGAAACATCAGGAACGGAATGAAGCAAGGGCGTTACCTCCAGGTGTCTTGCGGGTTTCACCACTGATCATCCAGCTGGTTCATCCCAGTGGTTAAGTACAACTGGGGTATATGCCAAGCATAACCTGGTTCTAATATGGTTACCCTCTGGAAAACTACCATAACTATGGAAAATCACCATCTTTAATGGGAAAATTAAATATAAATGGCCATTTTCAATAGCTATGTTAGTCTACCAGAGGGAATTTCATGTTAATTCTACCCACTTAACTGGGATGCACCGAACACCGCGATTCGTGGGCTGCGATCAGGTGGCTCACTGCTTCCGCGAGCAGCTGCAAGTCATTGTTGTCACGTGCCGCCTGGGCCACCTACGGCGCTACGGTCTCCGGCTTGGAGGTCACACCGGGCCGAGGCCGAGGTCGCGGTTTTGTGAAAACTCTGATGGGTAACTTCTGGGTATCCAAAAACCTGCCCAGTTTACCGATCATGTCTTAACGTGTTTACCGAGATGCCCGGGAACTGTGCCATTGTTTTTTTTAGCCCTTGAAATCACGGTTAGTGATCCCCTATCAGCAGCCATTCAGTTCTAAGTCTTGGCTGCTGCTTACTGGGTGTTGGTCCCAACAGCACCTCTTTGGCTTCGCTTAAAGCAGCCTCCGGCGCAGACGTACTCAAGCTTCTCCTGGAAGGGGAGCTAGGAATGTTCCAACGACACCTCCAGGTCTTTACTTCAATAGGATTAAGGACATTGCTGCAGGAAACTCATGTGGTAAACCCATTTTATACAACCCAACAAAAAGTTGATGTGGAAATTCCCTTCATCAACAGGTCCGGGATAACTTGGTGGTTCGTCCGACCTTGCAAGTCCATGATAACTATGGTTTAGTAAGTCCGCTCACTGGGCTTTCAAAAGATCCACAAGTTGAAAAAAGGACTGACCGGTTAATTACCAAGCGGAATGATCTTCTGTGTCGTACATGTGAGTAATCTCAATGTGGGAATAGGTTTTTACCCAAACTTCAATCGGAAAATCCTGAACGGGGCATCTTGCACTGTCGTCATTTATTGTCATCTTGTCATGCAACAGAGACATTTTTACATGTTGCGTAGGAATATGTTTTAGAATGATTCAAATTGTTGCGCACAAGTTTTGATCCAAGATTGACAGTAAAAAGAAGCTTCTTCCTAGTGATTCGTTGGAGGCAGGTGTGTAGTTTTGGATTAGACCCTGGCATATTCCCCGAACCACCAAAGTCGACGTGAAGTTTCCTCGTCATTGGAGAATATGACAACATTTCTCCACGACCACCGGGATCCTGGAATATACCTGGTTATTTAACAGGTTATTATGGTATAGATATGTATAGATGGCCCATTTGTAGATGATTTACCTATTCAAAATATTTTCAAAATATGACAATTTTCTAGTTCGCTACGTTCAATTGCCAGAGCGTAGTCTTAACTGCTTGGGGATGCCAAAGCAGGTACGTCTTTGTGTCTATTAGTCTATTTCTTGTTTTACACCTACAAATTGCGCCTATTGGGAACCGGACATCTTTAGAAGTCTCCTGGCATTCTCCAGGCGAAGCGGCAAACTCGCCATGGCGCCCTGTCTTTTTGTTGCCAAATATGAGGTGCTGGAGATGACGAGTTGGTTGATATCTCAAGGTGCTGGGTACGGAACGGTAACATTGCCAGGTTTTGTTCAAAGCAACAATCAGGGTCTATGTTGGAGCCCGAGAATCAAACATTCCAAGCAAAAAACCCAACAGATTCTCTGATTCTATCTGCTTTAAGTTGGCTTTGCCATCAGGAAAGCCCAAGTCATGGCGGCCACCATCCGCATCTGGGTGCCATCGTCATGGTCTGAGCCGTTGCGAAGGTTCATCATCAACCAACTGGGCTTTGGTTGACTCGCCCCACCCCAAAATCCTGGTAAAAATATGTAAAAATGAGGATTGCCACAATGGATGATGACATTTAAAAAAAAATACTCCCAGTCTTAGGGTGGGATAGCCCTCTTTTTAAGGACTTTCCAATGCAAGCGTTTTTGAGACTGCTCATGTGGAAATATATGGTGGTGAAAACCACCTGTTTAAATATAGATATATATATATATCATATATCATTCATAATATAGTTAAGGTTTATATATATATATATATTTAAAAAAAAAAAAAACTAGTTCACCATAACATGTTTCACAGCAAAACATCTCTGACAAAAGCTCCCTGCAGTTTTCCCGCTATCTCAAGTCGTCGAAGCCACTGCCCCATAAGGGGCTGTAGCTGCACCACCAGCCGCGTCGTAGTTCCACGAGACAGCCGGGCTTTAGGGCGAGTAAAGGTGGCTCTTACCCTCTGGTGAACTAACATAACTATGGAAAATCACCATGTTTAATGGGTAAATCAACTATAAATGGCAATGTTCCGTAGCTATGTTAAATTACCAGAGGGTAACCTCTAGTGTCTTATGGCTGAAAAGACTCTACTGTGAAGATTCTCTCCATGTTTGCTCTTACTATCCTAAAATACCATCCCATTTTGCAGCGTTGAAAATCACAATATATCACGATATATCTATGTCTATCAGATAGAATTGCACCACAAAAATATTGTGAGTTCCATGGAGATCATGGCTGCATGACAGACCCTCTGAGCGTAAGTGCTGCTGGCAACTTTGCACCAGTCCGCGGCACTAAAAAACCACTCCCAAGCTGTGGATGTCACTGGGTATGTCGCAAAATCCAAAGGGCCTACCCTTCAGTAGTCAAACTTGGCTGGCTGAGAAAAAGCCGATACATGGAAGCTTAGAGCTTTGAAAACCATCGAACTAAATATATTTTTTTCAGCAAGCCATGATTGATTACCGAAGGGTCAAAGTCTCCTTTTGCGTGCTGAAAAGTTTGGATCCACCCAGCCAGGCAGCTTCAGCGCACTTCAGTTAAAATGGACGACCTCTTTTTCCAAACATCAACCATTGAAAGAACAGCATGAAAACCAACCATTCCATACCGTTCCTAGTTCCGAAAAATATGTTGTAAAGCACCCAAATTGGTATCGCTCAAAGTGATTGACCTGCATTTTGGGTGGGTCCATTGGTACAAACAGCCCTTTCTTGAGCCATGGCCATTTCTTTTTTAGCGTGATGATTTTGGGGAACCATCCCCCCGTTTCAGACACACCCTCAATCGCTTAGAAAATCCCGCAGGCTTTTCTCCTTAAATTATCTCAAATCCATAGTAAAACATCGTAAAACCATCGATTTTCCATGGTGTCAGACATCGTAAAACCCATGGGGTTTCTGCTTCATAAGTGCCGAACTTCACTTGACAAAAACCCAGTCCTTCACAGCTTCAGCGCGGCGAGGAAGCCTCACTCGCCGTGACAGTGGCCTTCCTCGTCAGTTGCAGCGTTGGATGTTCCTCCTGCGAAGCTGGCAATGGAAAAAACTCAATGGATTCCTATAGATGTTCCATATTTAGTGGATGTACTGTAGTACTGTATAATGGGGAAATCCATATTTCATGGAAAACCACTTTAAAAAGCTGGTTTAAGAGAAAATCGGAAAGGAAAGCCCCATGATCTGAGTGGGAAAATCTATGGTTTCCGGATTCGATTTCCCCTTAAACCAATCCATTGAAAGACTGATCAAAAATGGGAGATCATAGTTTTTTGCAACCTGACAAAAGCCTTTTTTAGGCACATCACAACATGCACGCCTTGCTCCTCCAGTCTTTTTACAGACAAAATCAGATTCCAATGAGGTGTCCAAGCCCTAGTGGACATGCGGTCACACAAACTAGCTTGAATCAAATGGGATAATATTAATGGTTATTATATGGTTAATATTAATATTAATGGTTAATATCAATGGTTATTATGGTTAATGATGGTTAATAATAACCTGGTTGGTGGTGCAATGTGCCCATCTTGAAAAATATGAGTTCGTCAATGGGAAGGATGACATACCATATATGAAATGGAAAATAAAAACATGTTCCAAACCACCAACCAGATATGACATACCTGAAAAGAATGAGGACATGACTTTACCAACAATATGGGGGATATCAGTTGGTCCGACGATGGGGAAATGAGGTGGTGAACCGTCAAAGTTTGGGGGTGACCTGTTTCCAGACAAATCCAAATGAGTGATATGCCATAATTTATTGGCATATCCCATAATTACTTTTATTGGCATATCCCATACTTGATTGCCAATCGCATTGTGTCTCAGTATGGGATATGCCAATAAAAGTGATGCGTTCTCACTTGCTGCCCATCTAAAATGGCCATGAATGGCTAGGAAGTGGGGAGCGAGCCTTCAAAACGAGTGGGACATAAACCGTGGCTTCTAACTTCTAACCCAGCTAAATAATGTGGAATTAAAATAACATTATATATATATAACCATTTGCCAGATTTTACCAGTGGATAATCCGTGGGACTTACTGGACAATTTGTTTCCCTCAGTCAAATCAATTGACCAACTGCCAAGATAGACCATTTTGCTGGTGACGTGGTGGAAATTTGCCTGTCCCCTATAAATTCCGACAAAGCCAGTGGTTGGACATGGGACTTCATGATCAGTAGATGATCATGATAAGTTCACTTTCCACGTTCATGTTTTTCCAAGGAACCTTTCTTACCATCACCAAATCGCGAATCGCATCTTCCTGGCTGGAAATTTCCAGTCACCAGCTTTCTCGCTCCTCCATACTCTCGCGCAGATGCTGGTGCTCATGGTGGTGGTCGTGGTGATGATGCTGCTGATGTCGGTGCGGCATCCTCTCCCTGAGGTCGTCGATGTCGAAATCGTCGGACCTCGGAATGGCAGTCCATAAGCCATAGAAGTTCTTGCAAACAAAAAATGCCACATGAATCAACATGAGTTACAGAATGTTACAGAAACCATCAGTAACCCGCAAACATGTGGATTTCAAGACAAAAATGGGGATGCCATCCCGGGTTCACGGCAGCAATAGAGTCTGCTTTTTCACCTTTGCCTGATCAAAAGTCATCTGCTTTGTTGCTTCCTGAAAAAGGATGAGCCCGGCTGAGCGGCTCGAGGATTTTTTCGAAAAATGACCAGAATCCAGGATCCGGCAATTTTTCACCGAAAAATCACCAGGGTCCGGCAATTTTTCACCTTGCAGACTTTGGGAGGCAAGCTCTGATTCTTAGGCTCCCAGACTCCTCTTGTAGCTTCAACATCAACTCAATGCCGAAGATCATCTCTGCCTAAGACGTGCATCAAGTCATCAAAGGAGGACTTGCAACAACTGTCAGTGGCCCTGGTGAATGGTTACATGGCCATCAAAATGAAAGGAAGCCCCACCTGCTCTTCATGTGCACTGCCGAACACTATTTTTTGTGGGGATCACCACACGAACCTGACCATTACTCCAGGTACCATTCGGAATGGCGGGATGCACATCATACAACCAGGAAATGTTGACTCATAGCCAGGGTCAGGTAGGTTTAACACTGCTTGGTGGGTTCAATCCATTCCAAAACATATGCTCGTCATTGGACCATCCCAATATTGGGGGAAAACTCATCCAGAAATCTGTGAAACCAGCGATGAGATTGTCCGATGTGAAGGGTGTGAGTCATCACCAAAAAAAACAAAAAAAAGGTGCTGTGTTTCAACATCACAGCACGCAACCGGAAAAATGAATCAGAAAATCATCAGTAAATCGGGGATGTTCCACCCAGTTCTTGTTCACCAAGAAAAGGAACACTGTTTGTTTGCAGGTATTCGTGTCATGGATTTCAACCATCCCAGCCGCAGTCAAACCATTTAAAGCCACGACCTCACCATCAAAATTGTCTGCATGTTTTGCATTTTTTCTCACCATGTTGTTGCTTGTTTGTTCCATGTCCATGGCTTTAACACGCTATAACTGACGCTCACACTCATGGCCAATCATGGATACCATTCCGAACAACAAAGAACTTCATAGAAACTGTTCAGCTGAAAAAATAAAAATTAAAACAAGATATCTGTCCCCATGGCAGATGTTCTTCGCTAGTTTTCAGCTGCACCATCTAGTCGGTGCAAGCACCGTGCCTCAGTGACATCATCACTGCCGTCCACATCGATGATGTCGAACATCTCCTCGACCTGGGAATTGCATAGCCCGAAATTGCCATGTACCCTCCAGTAACTTACCATGGACGACCCTGATAACCTGGGGGGGATAAAGAAGATGAGTTTCAGCTGTTTCCAGTGGAAAAATTTGTGATTTTCAGGGACAGTTTCCATTTAAAAGATTCCCACATATTTACATATCGAAGTGACCAGAGGGTACATATATGTATGTGTGTATATATATATATATCATATATATATATCATATATATATACTGTATATATCGTCCCATATCATCCCATCTTGCTTGGTGAAATCGCCTGGTGATTTCTCTCACCCCAAATTTTTCCAGCCGTTTTTCGACGGCCAGGGCGCCACATCAGGATCAATGTTCATGGATTCCAAGCGCGCCTGGCGAAGAAAGTGGGCTGTTCTTCTCTGGAAGTGGTTGGCGACTTCACCTTTGAACCATGCTGCTGTTTTTTAAACCCAAACAATGAGACATGGTTATTTTAGGAACATTTGCGACTGGCGGTTTCACCATTGAACCATGCTAAAATATCCATGTGATCCATTGAAACATGGATATTTTAGCCTGATTTTAAGCAGGAAACATGGTCATTTTCCTTCACTTCCAAAAATATGACATGGGCCCCCATTCATTCATTTTTTGGCGGCTTACATGGTGAAGACGAAGATAAACAATGAAATGGAATGGTGTACCCTGGGTACCCTAGCTGGTAGAATTCATGGTTTCGGATACTGTACAAAGACTGGAAGACCTCCGGAGGAAGAAACAGCATGACAATTTGTTCATTTGGCTCTCCTCATTCCCCCAGTTAACTGGGGCCGTAAGTTGGGGATTCTGAAAAATACCGCTATGACAAATCCGTGTAATTATAGCTGAATTCTTTCCATCTGACAGTGAATTCTATCATGTATACAATTAGTATAGCCATGGCAAATAAAATGTATCCCATCATGATATGGGTTTGTCTGAAAATAGTGTACCCCTACACCCAATGGTTAATGATCATTATCCCTACTAAATGGCTATTTCATTGGGGGTATACGCCATTTTCAGACATACCCATATCAATCATTATCAATCTATCTCCTCCAAGGGTCCCTTAAGGGTCATTGCATCGCCCTCGCAGGCGCCTGCGTTCCATGCGACTGCAGTGCATTGGTGAACTCCTTCCAAGACTGACTGGGGATCAGAGTCCATGGGCTCCGCTGAGCCGTGGTGAACTGGGATTCCCCGATCAAAAAAGAAAATCCATCTGATAGCCAGGTAACATGGCTGGAAAATGCCAGCAATTTATAGTTGGTTCTAGCCATGGTTGATTACCAAAGGGTATTCCCATTATATTCCCATTATGTATATATATATATACACATATAAATCCCATTAAATCACCATTGTGGTATCACGAAGTTGTGGTTGATTCAGATGGCCTTTTCCTTTCGATGAAACTTTAAGAAAACCTTGGAAATGACCAACCTTGTCCTTTTGGGAGGGATAGAGGGGACGGTCTGGTCTGTTGGTTGTGAACTGTTGGTTGTGAAGGGTGGTTAACCCCTCTTTTACTCAAGTCACTATAGGCTAATAGGCGTGGATATCCGAATGAAGGTTGTCGCGTTCACGTGGAACTCCTCTTCCTCCCGTTTCGCTACGACTTTTTTTGGGACCACCTGGCATACCATTTGGCACTGTTCTGCCACAAGTGTATCCTGTCAATAGTTGACCCATGTCAACTGCTTCTTCTTAGAGTCCACAGAAGCCAAACGCCATGACAATTCTCTCTCTGAATCGTGGTAGGCTGCTTTTGTCAGCTCCAGCATTGAGCAACAGCTGGACTGCTTTCAAGCAGCCTCGCAAAGCTGCGGCATGCAGTGCTGTCTTTCCATCTCGTGCGGCCGCGTTCACATCAGCTCTAACCTCCAGCAACACCTTCACCACTTTGCGACCACCTCGTGCATTTGGAAAAAGCGAACGACCGAAACCAGGACCCTTGACCCTGACGGCACAAGCGGCGAGATGCAAAGGTCTGACACCTTCAGCACTTGCTACGTCCTTGTCTCCATCCTGGAGCAAGAGCTGCACTGCTTCCACATGTCCAAACCACGCTGCGCCATGCAACGCTTTTAATCCATGCAAGGTTTCAGTGTCAAAGACAGCGTTCTGGTCAGCTCCAGCAGCTCAGAGAAATCTCACCACTTCCGAATGGCGACACAGCCTCATGTAAAGCTGTTAAACCTTTTACCGCATTGCCATGTGGCACTGACGCACAAGCTGGCATCAACGTTGGCATTAACACCCAAGGTGGCGATGCCACCTTGGGTGTTAATGCTGCATCGATGTCTGCCCCAGCTTCAGCTAGCAATCGCACCATTTCCAAGGAGCCACGCTCAGCTGCCATGTACAAAGGTTTATTATAATTCTCAGGGGCATAGTTGGCATAGTTCTTGTCTGCTCCAGCCTCTAGAAACAATTGCACAGCTTCCAAGCTGTCACAGAGCGCTGCCACAAAAAAGTGATCGCTGTTTGGGTTGGCTCCAGATTCCACCAAGAATTTCAACACATGGAAGTGACCACGTTCCACCGCAAAATCCAAGGCTGTCTCCCCACGACCCCTTGCTGCATTTGTATCAGCTCTGGCTTCCACCAGCAGCTGCAGCACTTGTAGGTGGCCCTCCATAGCTGCTTCGTGAATGGGAATGTTATCACCACCCCCGTTGGGATCCTGTGGTTCTTGAAGAAGCTTCTCGACTTTGCCAGCACGATTCTTTCTGCATGCACGCATGAGTTCTTTCTGGGACCGTTCATCCGCCACAAAATCTAAAATGACCAATTACATACTTGCCACGGATGCCAAGGGCATGTCATCCTCCAGCTGGCCGATACCATCCACTAGAAGCCTTTGCCGAAACCTTGAGAAGCCAGTCTCCGTTGCAAGCACCTGTTTGAGGTCTTTCACAGATCTGCCATCTTCCACCATGCGCGCATACAGGTCCTTATCAAGCTCAGCCAGAGTTTCACCAGACAATGCGGGGATCTGCACCATTGGAGGATGTTCCTCGCCTTTGCTGGAGATGTTCCACACCCGCTTTGCGTAGGAAACGGTGTTCCAAACAAAAACATACCTCCTTTCCTGTCCATTTGTGCATGTATATAGATGCATGTATTAGTATTATATATATATACTATATGTTTTAACTACATATGCTCAAAGGCTCTCATGTCGTATCTTCAATTCTAACGCTCTTGATTAAACCCTGATTTGCAGGCATGTGTCACTCAGTGAGATGCGTTTAAAGCTGTCAAATGAGCCGGAGGAGGTCTGGGCAAGTGGAGTGTAATCTTTGTGCAGCTCCCCAATCTGTCGACGCCCCAGAAAGAAAGTCAACATCCCAATAATGTCTTTTAGGCTACAAGCTTTGAGTGTTGCAGAAAATTGCGAGCCCCGCAAAATGGCTTGTTCTATCTTGATCTGTCACGGGTTGGTGCGAGGGCCCAATTTGTGGACTTGGTGTTGGTTTTACATATGCCCTCTGGTTATTTGACATAGCCATGAAAAATGGTCCATAGAAATAGATGGTTTACCTATTAAAATTGGTGATTTTCCAGTTCGCTATGTTACTCATAACCAGAGGGTAAGTCGGTTTATAACCCTGGTATATCTACCGTAAGGATCCATGCTACATGGGAAGACAAATGGCAGACAGCTTCGTCCTCCTTGGTGAGGGTTCCACACTGATCCAGGTCCGCCTGGCCGAGGAATGGTTGGCTCCCCATTTTCTGTTGGGATTCGGGGATTCTGGGATACTTGGAGGATCATTCTGGTGCTTGGGATTCTGCTAGGTTCATTTCATGGGATTTGATTGAGTCTTAATGATATTGGGCAATATCACAATCCATGAAGGAGTCCCGTTCTCAATCATCCCACGAATCACGAATCGTAAATGGCCAATACTCCGGTCGTTCGTAAATCCCCATGCAGTGGGGTTATCACATTAATCTTACCGGGTTATAAGTCATAAATATATATATATATATATGGTGAATTTAACGAGTTGCGATTCGTGAGAGAATCCAAGTAGGTTAACTCAAGCTGTTGCCAGGGAAAGCTGCTATTCTTATCATTTTGTTACTGGATACGACTGCAACAGGTTGAAGGATCTTGAATCTTGATGGCTTCTGGGGTTGGAAAACTCCACTGGAACACCCAAGCCCCCAGGCCGGTAGGAACTCACAAGGATGGAGGAACACGGCTATCGAAACTGGCGAATGTATTGAAATGGGGTTGGCTCTCAGAGTTATACATGGTACATATATATATATATATATATATATATATATGATCATGGATGACCCAGTTCTGTAGGGGACTTGTGATCATCAGTTTTTTTCCCAAGCGGTTCCTGGTTACGATTCGTTACTATGGGATGTTCCAAGTGAGAAACCCTCAAGCCTGCAGGCCCAGCAGGGCCCAGGGCCTTTTCAAAGATCTGCTTGATGAGAATCTTCCAGCGAGGGATTGACTTGGGCCTTCGCAAGCCTAGGCAGGATCCATCTCAAAGGGTGCAAAATGGAAGAGGTTGATCATCATTTTGCCTCTTCTTTCATAGCCATACAGTTGGAGTAAGGGTCTCATGTTCAGACACACCCATTTGGATGGGGTCAACCATGTGTCGTCCCTGCCACGAAAATATTTGAGACACAAATTCTTAGCATCCTGGCGTAGAAGTTCCTCAATGAAGTGGTTGGAACCTCAGAGGGGTCAACACGCCTGGGTTCTAATGATTCAGTGTTTTGTTGCCCCAGAAAAAAGGGGCGTTCCTGCAGATTTAAAAGAGCTTCCTGCAGATTTTCTTTTTGGGAGGGTTGGATATGGCTTAAAGTTCACGGTGTCAAAGGGGATCCCCGAGACAAGGCCAAACGACAGCCATTTCAAGTTAGTTAAAAACATCAGATATCCGGCTGAATGATATTCCAAGACTTTCCATATCTGGATTCTCTGAATAATGTGGATGAGAGTTATCCAACATTTCCAAGGCTCATACGTAATACCATCTGGTTATTCAACATAGCCACGGAAAATGGCCCATTTATAGATGGTTTACCTATTAAAAATGGTGATTTTCCATGGCTATGTTAGTCATAACCAGATGGTATCTCAATGATAAATCCATATCATTCCAATGAGTTCCAGCTGAGTTTTCCCATCTGCTGAAATTTCAAAGCCAGGAGGCTGAAGAGTGCGCTCTCCTCAATTTTTGAAGCAAGGGTCATCCGCCCAACGGGAGGTGCCATACAGGCATCTCCATATGAAAAAAAAACTGGGATTGGATTTACCCAGTCCTTGGGGGGCGTCAATCCATGAAACATATGGATAGCCAACATGGCATGGGATGAATCACCATAAACCATAAACCGTCGTTTGTAAGATATCTATACATGTAGTCTATGTGATATTCATCCAACACCTATGTAGATCTAGATCTAGATGTATCCATGATATTCCAATTTTGTCTGTGTGTATTGGATACATTAGAAGCGTATTATACAGTAGATTCGTATATGTGACCATCCTGAAGTCCTGGAGTGGCAACCTCAACCCAAAAAAATAGAATGTTGTGAATTCCTGCTGAAATATTGATAATAGATGTTTCTGTCTTTTTGGCGGTTCCTCTTAGATATAGCTCGGGCCAAGGTTCTACCATGTCTTGGTCACATTGAGGGCGAATGGTACTGTGGGAAAAAAAACAGGAGTCAACCCCAACAACCTCAAATAATGCTCAGATCCTCCAGTCATTGAGGTTGCACGACAAGCCAGATCCCTGGGTTGCGAGGTTCTGCCTATCTCCTGAAATACCTCTTCTTTTAGGGAGTGACCACCAATTCATCAGCGCTATGCTTGCCAAGAAAAAACAACCATGGGTCCCCTACAGTGGGCTCTTGAAGGGATTCAGTCGTGCAGGGAGTCGATTAAGCGTGCCACCCGTCCTGTCTCATGGCTGCTATGCCGCCTTTGAAGTCTTGCAGGGCCTTGATCCACAGGACCAACAGGACCAAGGGGAGAACACAGTGCTGTTTTGGGGGATGGTTCAAGCAACAAAGATGAGCAGATCATCAAGATAGTTTATGTAACCTGTATATATGTCAGCAACCTACCACATGTACGTCCTCCATATCTAGGGAATGACACAAAAACATAATATGTACATGTGGCTGTGTCAAAACCCTGTACCCCTTCTGTTCACACCAAATAACTGGTAAATGGATTTCATCCCCCAAACATGGTGCAATAGATCTTGATCCATCCCCGTGTATAATATATATATATACATAATTAATTATATTGTATATGTCATTTTGGGAGAGTTGCCCATGGTAACCACCATGTACAATCTTTTTTTTGTGATGTATACCCTCTGGTAAAGTTATAGCACTATGCAAGATATGGTCCATTTCGTTCGATGATTTACCTAACATGTTGTTGGTGATTGTCCAGTTCGCTATGTTACCCTCTGGTAAACGTTTACATAACTATGGAAAATCACCATTTTGAATGGGAAAATCAACTGTTTCAATGGCCATTTTCAATAGCTTTTTGTATGTTTACTGGGTAGCTTACCGGAGGATAGAAGTGATTCATTGATCCATCCCATCATCAATCCAAACATCCCATGGTTTTTTTCCAGCGCAGAGCAGCGCGGAGCGCCCCGCACCTCCTCCCGTTGAGAAGCGTTGGCATCGGTACTGAACCTGGGGGAATGTGGCGCAGACCATGAACCTGGTGATAGTTAATGATATCATAAGAACATATGAGAAGTATTTATATATATATACATATATTTGAACTATTTTGAACTAGAAGGATTCTAATATCACAATAGTTGTTTTATGATTGAATTATAGGATTGAAGTAGAAATCCAAAGGATCGTAGCTATTGCAATTGCATGATAGGTGATCCAGTGGTTGTGTAACTGAACTGGGCAGCGTCAAGAACCTGGTTGCGAACGGCGTTTCATGTCTTTCGCCATAGCTATTCTGGTGATGGATTGTGATCATCCTTTTTGAATAAGTAGCAGAACCCCAACATTGGTAACAAACCAATGGGTGTTTGATACTGGTAACTTTGGCTTTGATGTAGAAACCCGATTGATGATAGTTCTTGGAACATTCACCCAGTACTGGAACTGGATGACGCTGAAAAAATCGGGCAAAACCATGGCACCCTTCTGTTCACAGCAAGTTGTAACTGGTTTTTTTGTTACGATGTTCATCCCCCAAGACATCCCAAAAAAATATACGGTAGATTAGGTGTCCATCCCCATACAAATTAAACTATAGGATTGGACTACACTATAAATCCGATTCATGCTAGTTCTTGGAATCGGATGAGAGTTATGATACTTCTTTGTCGAATCCGATTGGAAATGGGATTTACTGTAACTATTGTTGCTGATATAGGTACGGTATCTAGTGGAAAAAATCATAATGATGGTTATAGTAAAAATGATAGACCTGAATCAGGCCGAATGATAGTTAATTATATCGTGGGATAAAAGATTATGTGGAATCTTCTCGCTTCATTGGGAATAGAATGTGGGACTGGTCTTTAATGATCTTAGTTCGAAGATCATGATCTTCGTATTGATATTTTGTGCTACAGTAAGTAAGAAGACGAACATTGGGATCATCTGGAAATTGATCATAGTAATGACACTATCTTTATGGGGATCGTCTTGCCAACAAAAATATCCCACAGGATCCCCAAGGATGTATTACAAACATTAACATGATGGCATTTGATCATACAAAAACTGCACAACCTCTCTGCAACCCTGGCAATGGTATAGTAAAGTAACATTGTGTTTATGACAGGAAATAAACTGTGATTTCCAACGCATTTTGCCTGGAAATTTGATCAATGGCCTCACCTAGAATACGAACGGCAGATATGTACATATATTATACAAGACACTTCCACATATAGTTATATAATGCAGTCTGTATGCTGATATGTGTACATGTGCATTTTCCGCATCTATACGTACATGTACATATCCCTGTATGTGCATGTGTAGTAGTATGTCCGATTGTGTGATGTGGTGATATACAGTCATATTATATATATGTATATATATACATATATATATATATCACATGTATATTCTATATTTGCATATGCATATAGTGATTTTCGTTTGAGAAGCATATGGCTACTGTAAAATCAACGACCACTCTATCCAGATGGTTATCCATTATATCCCCACAATTTAATGTCCCAAACCACCATGTTTGTTGGTTAAGTCACCATTTTTGATGCTTAAATCATGATTGTTTGACAAAACTTGTCAAAATATAAACTTTACCTAGACCAGATCATACATTGCTGGTTAAACACATACATCATTGTACCCCATCCGGGAAAATATGTCAAAAAATCTCGTAAATTGCGCCAAAATCAACAACCAGTCTGCAAAAATCTCAGCCAAATCATTTTCCATCAATATATGTTCAATATATGTTCAATGTTCAATATATGTGCTGGTGATATGTTCAATATATGTTCCATTGTTCCATCCCATCTTTGATGCTTGGTTTAATCCCCATTGTAAACATCCTTCACCATGATATCCATGTGGGTACATGGTAAAACCATGTCATAAACCACCCGTCGGACTGGGAATGGTAAACATATCACCTATAAAAATGCTTTGACTTGGGGTGTTTATGATGGTTTATGGCATTGTTTTACCCACATGGGTATGGATCAATACCTATTAATACCATTTTTAGTGGGATGAACATCCATTTACCAGCTATTTTGATGTTCACCAGGGGTACAAGGTTTTGACACACTGCCACATGAATTCCATCCCCAAATTTACCCGCGCTTCCCAGTCACATGATCTTCAAATCCTCCGTCAGACGATCACAGCTCCGTGTGCCAGGTGCGATCTGCAGGGCGGCCATGCGCCAGATCCGTTTTGGGCCCCCGGAAAAATTTCGTTCGGAAAAGGTGCCATAAAAAGATGGAAAGATATGGAACATAGTAACTATGGTTTATGGCAGATATAACTATACTTAATGGATCTTAATGGGGTTTATAAACCAACTTAGCTAACTATGGGGCACCCTGCAAAGTGGGGCCCCCAAACGATAGCTAAGTTGGTGAACATAACTCCAATTTCACTATGGTTTATGGTACTTATAACGAACTAGTTACTGGGGCTTATAAACCAACTTATAACTGGGGGGCCCCACATTGTACAAATTCGACCTTTTTCAATAGTGAGCCAGGATATGATAAGGATTCTAAAATTCCCACAAAATGATGAAACGGACTCACAATGACAGGACACAATGAGAGTTGGACCAATCGCTACCCGTGGTCCAGTGTCCAGTCCCGGTCTCACCTCCAAACTTTGGATCACCAGCTGCGTGACGTTGTCCATCTCAATGCCCACCTAGAGACAAAGTTACTGAGCTTCAGAACTTGCATTTTTAGTTTGGATATGAATGGGAAGTTTAATGGAAGGTTGAATGGGATATTAATGGAGATTCATGGATATCAATGGATATTAATGGACATCAATGGAGATTGCTTGATATTAATGGATATTAATATTAATGCATATTAATTCACCTTAATGGACATTAATGGATATTAATTCTGGATATTAATGGATATGAATGGGATAAATGGAGGTTTAATGGGATATGAATGATATGAATGAGATATAGCCTCTGGGGTCATCAAATGTGGCTGGCTGGGACATCCTCGAACTAAATTTACGTTTTGAATGGGACAATCATCTATTAGAAATGGAGGGTTGGTAAACAAAATGCAACCATGTTGACTGAGATTGCCGCATCCAAAATCGAAACAAAACATGTTTACATGAAAGGGCTATCGAAGTACCATTTGGTCAAAGACACAAGACTGTTTCGTGACGGCACCAGCAATACTGGCAACTATCAGCAACTAGAAGAATGCCTCGAAAAACCATTTCAGGCTTGAGCATGCCTACTTGACAAAAATCCTCAGAAACTGTAGATAAGCAGCTGATAAGCATGAAAATTGAAGGGTTGCAACTTGCAACGATTTGTCAGTGACCAACCAACAATGTCCTCGATGGGTCAAGTCCGTAGTACCAAATGTTTTAGTCCTCGAAATGACCCATCCATCTCTAGTTCTTTCAAGACTCAACTGTTTGACCCATATCTATCCATATCTTAGATTTAAAACATGTCCCTAGAGTAGTTTTGCCAAACAGTGGATCAATTCGTCATCAACTGAGAGACCTTAAAAGATATACAACTATCATGTGCTTGGGAACTGAATTCATAATTTGTTCATAGCTCCAACTGGCTCCCCATGGCCTTTCATTGGGAACATGGATACCACAAACAATCTGAGGACCTGTACCCGCATCAACTTACGCTGCGTTGTTCTCTTGTGCAGAAAGGTGGCCAGGATGTCCGCAGTGTACTCAGCGGTGGGCAGTGGGCATGGTTTTACCGCCAAAGATGACCCTCCAGTAAACTTGGCAAACTACCATAGCTGTGGAGTTTACCCACCATGAAAGTAGACCATTTTCCTGGGGAAAGCATTGGTTTTCCACATCGTTAGTTTACAGGAGAGTAATCAGTAAGGGTTTCTGGTGATCCATCCATCACGGAATCCACTGTAGCTCCAAAATGAGCCCCAAAGCTAAGGTCGCTGTCATCCAGACCTATCCTATGAATAATCAATAATTCCTTTTGGATGCTTAATTCATCTTAAATCTCTAGTTTTTGTTGGCTACATCAGCTATGCCCCCCATGATTCTTATCCGAAAACAAAAAAAAGCAATGCGGTGCAGTTGAAAGTCCAAAGACATCCTGGAGGCACTCCCCAAACAAAAATCTCAAGGGGGTCGTCAATATGATGACGTGTGAGTCACGGACGATCTTCATCCACAGAGGCGAAGGTCCATTGCCAGTTTCGATTAACCAGGCCGGGGGTAGTTAATCATAGTTAATCACATCATTATCCGATCATTCCCAGTTTTAAAGTGAAACGATTGCCAAGGGGCAATCGTAAATCCTAGCGAATCACACATCATCCCCAATTTTAAATTAAACATATGGTGAAAATCCTTAGCATTTCAAGCTACATGCTGACCATTCTCCATTTTTGACGCTGAAAACTGGCCGTGTCACTTGACCCTTTCCATCCTCATTGCTCAGCTCCTGGGAATTGAAAGTCGTGGCCATCCCAAAATCATTGACCATTTTCCCATTGAAACCTCCATTGATGAAGGATGTTCATGGATTTTCCAGGACCATCTTTGATTCCGAAAGGGCAATTCAATAGTGATATTAATGGTTATTAATGGTTATTAATGGTTATTAATGGTTATTAATGGTTATTAATGGTTATTAATGGTTATCAATGGTTATTAATGGTTATTAATAATGGTTATTAATGGTTATTAATGGTTATATAATATATTATAATATATTATATAATATATATAATATATGACCTTCCGGTGTCATCAAACATGTCAGGCTGCTGGGAAGTCTCCAAACCTAGTGATTTTTCGTTGCCATGTTTGATTACGGGATGGTAATCCCTCTGGATCCAGCCGTACCTTCTGAGGGAGTGTATATAACATATTATAACATTATATAACTGGGGTATGATTTACGTGGCTAAGTGCCTGCTCAGAACGAATTTGGATCCATAAGAAATTGCATGTCAAAATATGTTAATTCGCAAAAATTGTAATAGAACCATCGAAAATTGGGGTTTTACCAGAACCAATGATGATTAATAATTGGTGAATGTGTTTCTGTGTTTAGGCGGGGTTAGTTCGTTCACCCAGTTTGATGCATGACCCAGGAAATGGAGACTTACCAGGACACTAACCACTAAACTAAACGGGATGATCCGTACCCCAAAATGAAGGTCTGGAAGCTGACTGGTTGGGGCCAGGGCCTCCCAACTAGTTGCAATTTGGATGATTCTGTTCCCATGTCATAGCGACATCCATATTTCAATGCTGTTCCGTCTCTGGCTGCGAAAAGACTATGCAACTCCTAGTTCCAACCACCTCAGATCTCTAAAGCTGTTGCAGAAAAGCACTGAGACTCGCTGATTCTCTTGGCTGTATTTTTGGTTGCCAAAATTACGGACAAGTGTGTCAGCCAATGGTTTTAATCTATGCCCAAATAAATTAGCCAAAAGCCAACATCAAACTCAGGGGTTGTCATGGGTTCCCTTGGTTTGGCCCTTATCTTTAAAGCTGAATCCACAGGTTTGGCTGGTGGGACCTCTCCATGTTTATGTCATGAATTGCCCCAACTAACCTAAATCCACGTTTGGATTGGTTGAATCCAGGGGTTTGACCATGGCCATATCCTTCAATCCCGTGGAAATTTCCATTGGGTCTCCCATTCCTGGCTTCTCCCATCTATCGAACTAACCCCAATGACCACCACATTCACCAGGCTACACCCCACCCCCACCCCTCCAGAGAGTTCCCAGTCTCCACCGTCCTTCTTCAGAAAGGCTTTGATACGTGGCTCGGTTTGCTCCATCTTCAGCAGCGCGCTGATGCCATGCAACACCTCCATGTGAGACTGGCAGGGCCAATGCTCCCCAGTTTTGGAGATGTTCAACATACCCACCATCCAATACCCATGGCTGGCCTGTAAAAAAAAAACATCTTGGGGAGTCAATCATGGTTTCATGTCAACATTTTGGATGAACAAATTGGGGCAAAATTCACGGGCCTCGGCGAAATTGAGCTCCCCGCTTCCATCTTCGTCCAACCTCGAAAACGACTTGGCTGGTTTCAGTGGAAATCTACCCTGGAAACCAAGGTTTTTGCGCCATGTTCAGTAGGCAAATCCTTTCCAAAACCTTTTTGGGGGATTTTGGCTGTGTGGCGGATTTCAAAGTTCTTTAAAAAGGAGAATTTACATACTGGGGATATGAAACAACAAAAAGGGCAGCAGTAAAGATCTCCGGTGAACTCGGCCGCAACCACGGCCCCGAACGCGCCAAAGACTTCCATGATCTGCGAGATGTCGAACTCCTTCCTCAGACAAATTGCAAAACAACGACTGCACCAAGAATGATAACTATTGCACCACTCATATGCAAATATGGAAATGGTATTTGTGGAATAGACGCGTTTACACAGCCATGCTTTTTATGCAGAGAACCTTCTACATGACCCCACAACTACACAAATATTGTGAGAATGAAAAAATAGTGACACTGCCCGGAAATATCAGCGCAGCCTTTTTCCCTATTGAAGCTCCGACGCTTCAGTACTGAGAAAAGGCTTGCGGTGTCTAAAGACGAATAAGTCCTGCAAGTCCGTTCCTGCAAGACAGCAAGCATTATTACGTGTTGGCTGGTTGTTGCGATTTTGCAACTAATGTCCATCAGCGCCTTGCTATGGAAGTTACATACATTCTTCAAAGTGTGCTTAGTGCGCGTTTTACTTTGTGTCTTTGCTTTACGGATGGGTGATTGATTCGAAGTATGCTTGCCGTGCTATTTCATTCTGTACTTTTCCGCATGACGTAGCCTGTACATGGCCTGTTGTGATACTCAAGCTCACTTCACGCCGCTCTGCTTCTCTTCGCCGGTGGGGCTTTGTCGGCTCAGCCTACGGAGGAATGAGGGACTCACGCAATTCGAGCAGTTTGCATTCAACGGATGCTTCTTGACAAGGACAGACGACCCTGCCTCATTTCGTCTTTGATCTTGAAACGAGCTCCCTGCAACTTTCGACTGTCCTTCTCTGTTGCGTGCATGCGTAGGTTCTCCTTTTGCTTGTCCTTGAGAACCTGGCGGCGGCCGTAACGCAGGAGGGACAAAGCCTCAATGCTGTGCAATCCGAACACACACCATGAACGAGCGCGTTGCTAGGCTCTGCCTTGAGAAGGGCTTCTTTTCGCGTGATGCCGGTCCTTTATGCTGCAGTTCGAAGGCTTCGCGATCCACCTTGGTCACGCTACGACATGATCAGTTCTGATTGAACGCGGTGTGTGTGTGTGTGTGTGTGTGTGTGTGTGTGTGTGTGTGTGTGTGTGTGTGTGTGTGTGTGTGTGTGTGTGTGTGTGTGTGTGTGTGTGTGTGTGGTGTGTGTGTGTGTGTGTGTGTGTGTGTGTGTGTGTGTGTGTGTGTGTGTGTGTGTGTGTGTGTGTGTGTGTGTGTGTGTGTGTGTGTGTGTGTGTGTGTGTGTGTGTGTGTGTGTGTGTGTGTGTGTGTGTGTGTGTGTGTGTGTGTGTGTGTGTGTGTGTGTGTGTGTGTGTGTTTTGCAAACACGCCTTTTCTGAGTGCAAAAGGTCTGTGCCGGCCCATCATCGACATTCGACGGTTCATGTGAACTTGGTGGCCGCCCAAGAGCATACTGCTGTGAGCATGCAGGGACAAATTAAAAACCTAGAAGAAAAGCTAATTGCCAAAAGCAAGTCCTAATCCGGAGCTTGCAGCATCATAGCTTGGTCAGTGTATTGGAGCCTTGGCCTGCATGTTAAGATGTGGATGTCCCGCAAGAAGCTTCAGTTTGCGCAGGAACAGTGGGTTGGGTCATTGCCACCCTTGCAGAATTAGTGGCCATGCCTGTCATTGGATGACACCTCAGGCAGAGCTGCATCAAAATGGTGCTACAGAAATTCAGTCCTCCGGGGGATAGAAGGCTCCAGGAGCCAGCATGAAAACATTGTGAAACGGAAGGTGAAACTGAATTAGCAATGGGTAAGAGTAGAAACAACAGCTTGGAATGGGGCAACCACCTAGGCCCTCTTTTTTTTTTCCTTTTTTTTTTTTTCCTTTTTTTTTTTTCCTACTCCTCAGGGGTACACACTGGGGATACCAGCGGGCCAAGGCCGGGGGGAGGGTAGCATCTGAGGGCACTCCAGAGAAAAAGGCCTCATCTGGGAGACCACATCAAGGTCACTTGCTGGGTATGGCCAAAATGGCCTGGAGTCTGATGCCAAAAGGGCATGGATGGAAAGCGCAAGTTGGAAGCATCGCCGCCAGGGCAGGGCCAAAAAGGCCGTAATGCAAATCAGCCACCAAAGAGGTTTGTTGCCACCGTGCCAATCACGAGACCAAAGTAGATCAGGAGCATCCGTGCAAAACTGCGCCATCGATACATGAGAGGTCAAAGAGTCAGGGCCAAAATGGCCAAAATGGTGTGCCAAAATGCGATGTCAGTACCCATGGCCAAGGCTCCTCATGGATTGCCACTGGACACTACCCACGCAGGGAGTGGGTCTCTTTGGGCACATTGTGAAACGAATCTACCGGTTTTTTTTTTTAACAACAGAATGATGTCCAGTGGTCTTTTTCTTTCTTTTTTTGTTTTTTTTTGTTTTTTGGGACTGGGGTACACGTTGGGGATACCAACGGGCATGAACAAAACTCTGCAGGGGGATAAGCCGACCAGGGGGGGCCGGGTGCATGGGGCTGGAGGTGAAACGGAAAACATAGGAACCAACAGCTTGATGGGGCCACAGCTCCTACGCCCTCTTCATTTTTTTTTTCTGAGTGAAACGTAACCGATTGGGGAAAAGCAACAGCTTGGATGACTGGGTGAAACGAAGCCGATTAGGAAAGCAACAGCTTGGAGGGGCCACATCTTCCTACGCCCTCTTTTTTTTTTGGTTTCATGACCTATCTCAATCTACCGGCAGAAAGAAAAGTATGTCAGCTCTTAATGAAAAGACTTCCGACAGTGGCCTCTGACAAATGGGCACAGCCTCACATTTGCCACTTCTTAGTCATTGGGTGTTGTTGGCTTGAGCAGCGCGAGCATGGCATCAATTGATTTGGTATCCCCAGCCTGTTGCACCGAGTCAGCATAGTGGTGCATCTGTAAGCTGTCACTACGGACTAGCCACAAAACAGTGCAGGTTCGAAGCAACCAGTCCGGAAGGTTCCACACTGGAACTGGTTGCTGCCAGTCATCACAGAGAAGCCAGTTAGAAGGAGCTGGGCCTTGGGTCACCGTAGGGTGGATTCGTACAGCAGTGCGATAGTGGCCATGTGCATCTCCACCCAAGTGAGCCTGCATGGCAATGATGGTGTATTCAATCAAACCACATGCAATCGTCTTGTCCAGAAAGATTGGGAAAAGACAATCAACTTCTGGATCAATAATCGTCATGCATCGACCAACTCCAGAAGTTTGAGGGTCCTGAACACACCGATCAATGTGCACGCAAATGCATGTGGTGGAAGCCAGCAACGCAGCCTTCATGCCGTCAGCCAAATGCCATACCTGGACCAAGTCAGACAATGCACATCGAGGCAAATGAACATGGATAGGAGCAAATTGCAGAAAGAGTGGCAAAGAAGAAGCACTCTCATCAACCTTATGGACAATGCTATCTGCTTCAATGCGTCTTTCCCATCGCATGTCGAAAGCCGGGCTCTGCATGGCATGGAGCCAGGTGCTGATAAATTCAGCGGCATCCTGTTGAGATATGTGCCCCGGATTTTCCGGGTCATGACGTCCCCAGCATTGCAAGACTTCATTGAACCATGTTTCCTGTGACAAAACGCCTGGTTGTGAATGGAGCTTGTGGACAAAGTCAAATAAAGTGTTGCAATGCAAGCCCCAAAAAGAAAGTGTGCACTCCCTGACGCTCATCGTCGTCCACAGAAGTGAGAGCACTGCCGAATTTGCAAAGCACCAATTGTCCACATTGGCAAAGCGAGCATGAGCAACCATGTCAAGCAGCATCTCACGTTCAAAGGTCCTCTGCATCGTCAGTTGGTCGGGGAGGCAGTGACCGATTTGCCTTTGCTCTTGCCCTTGGAGGGTCGCAGATTCAAGTCCTTGCTCAACTGATTTGCCAGACTGGACTGATGTAGACTGTGAGCTTTGAGACTGGCCGCCATGAGAACCCAGATGCTCGAGCCGCAAAGAGCCCGCATCAGCCAATACTCCCTGTCGGCTCTCAGGCTCAATTGAAGGCGCCAAGGGGTGATGTCCCCCGACTGCGGCAGGGCATGAAGCGCTTGGACCAACGTCGTTTCTGTGCTCATCTCTTGGAGCTCTTGAATGTTCTGAACCATCTTCTTCAGGGAGATCGGAGGCCGCTTGGAGACCTGCAGTTGTTTCTGTGCTGGATCCCAGTCGAGGTATGGGCATGTCATGTCCGGCAGGATCACCTTGTTCATCTGGGCGGCCTGAACCAGAGGAGAGTCCTGTGGTGCCTCTCCCAATTGTGTCAGGCGGGCCAGCAGGTCCTTCAGCAGCACTTGCAGGAGTCTCTGCCGAAGCGGTTGCCACGGTGTCTGCCGGGTCTGGCTCTGTGAGTGCCAGGTTTCCGCCGCGGCCAGCAGGCACTTCAGGGATCCTGTTGGCGCCTGATTGTTGAAGAAGAAGATGAATGTGTCCTCGCGCCTCACCGCCTCGATCTGCTGGTCGTGCCTGACCAGAAGTTTGGCCATCAGAAGGACCGTCGCGCAAAGTTGGCTCTGATCCATCTCGGTCTCCTGCTTCACATGACGCCCTTTTCCCTTTGGCACGACGTCCTTGCGTGGGCGTTTTGGAAGGGCGGGATTTGGCGCCAGGGTCAGATCCTTGTCCAGTTTGACGCCGAGGAGCGGTGCCAAATGCTGAAAGGATTGGAGGATCTGTGCTGAAGCCTCCAAACCCTCTGTCATGGTGGTGTCCTCCATTGTTGAATGCCCGGCAAAGGACAAGAGCCAGCTGGAGAGCAACTGGGCAGTGAGCCTTGTAATGGTTCTGAGCCAATATGATCCGATCAGTAAAAACAGACTGGGCAGTGTCGTCACAAATCTGCGTATGCAAGGGCAAGTTGAAGATCATGTCACAGAGGTGGCACTTGTGATCAACAGGGTTTTGCAAAAGCATCAGTGGGATCAACTGCTGAACGAAAAAGGCTATCAAGGGTGTGCTACAATCATGCGCCTCCCGAAGGTGAATGCCAAGATCATGTGCAAGATGCCGCTGTCCACAAAAAAGACAAATACCTGCCATCTGCTGCGTCAGAGCATGTTGAGTCAGCAACGTCTCAAGATCTCGTGAGATCAATGCCCTTTCCAAGGCAAAACGCAACTCTTTGGGAATCGAGGGACTCAATGCCTGGGTCAGCATCTGTTCTGTAATGAGCAGAGGCATCAAAATCTTATGTGGAGGGAGCCGCAAAAACTGCATGGACATCTGCTTGATGGGAGTGCAAACATGATTGAGCCGCCGAATCGATATCGATGGATTACAGATGCATCCCCAGCTGCTGTAGAATAGGCCAAGAAAAAAGGCCGTGATCGGTTCTGAATCTTTCCAGAGCTGGGAATGTGCACTTTGAAGATGCAACATCAGGTCTCCTGAACGATGATATGTCGCCCTGCAGCACATGCAGTGAAGTGTGTGTTGCAAACGCCATTGGGAGTCTTGAACCGCATCAGTGAGTCCCCCATCACACAAAACTTGGATCATCCTGTCTGAGATGGCAACCGGCTCACTGGTCAACGTCGGATTGAAGCAACTGCATCGTCCCTGTGATATATGTGAGCGTAGTGACTCCATGTTTCCAAAAACCTGTCCACAGTGAGCGCAGCCTGAGCTCCCATCGATAGAATCTCGACCTTGGTTCCAGCGAGCACTGGTGAGCTGATGCGCCCGCAAAAGATGGTCATACAGTTCCTCAGATGTGGTCAGAACCTGATCGCAAATCTCACATTGAAGACCCCGAAGACTGCCATCATCTGTGCTGTCTGGATTGTCAGCACCATATATGAGCAAAAGGCTGACCTGTGTCCAGGTATTGCATGAATGAGTTTTCTGAAAAACCCCTCGGCAGAATTGACATGGAGAGTCCTCCGCATAGAGATTTGTGAGCTGAGTGCTCTTGGCCATCACCATCGGCCAATAGGCCGCATGAAAAAGTCGTAGATGCTTGTGCATCTCCTGTGCCCTGCCTACCCATTGGTCACAAAGACAGCAGCGTTGTGACAAATAATCTGAAATTTCAGGTTCCTGTCGAAGAAGGTGCAACTGTCGAGTGCCAATCATCCTCAGAAGGCGGGGTCCCCAATCATGCGACATGATGTTTCGCAGGTCCTGGGTGCCAAGTTGGACATGGCCTCGCATGGCTTCATCAGATCGAGAATTGACCAATCTGGTAGGAAGCAGCGGCATCAGAGCAGTAGCCCCAGGCAAGCCAGCTTGTTCAGGGTGTGCACGGAGTACCTGGCAACCACGTTCAATATGGATAACAAACTGTCGCCATGTAGTAAAAGTAGCAAGACAATGCTTGCATTGTGGCAAACCCTGTAACATGTGGTCAGAGTGATTGACCAATGTAGTTCGAAACATGTGAAAGCCATGCTGTGTTGCATAATGTTTGCGCAAGGTGGTGGGGTCCTGTGTGCAAAAATGACATTGATTGCATGTCAAAGTCACTGTGGCCTCGAGGGTTGGGGCCAAGGGATGCTGCTTGGGTCCAGCCTCATGTAGAGTCAAGAATAAGGTCTGAATGTCCTGTAAATGGTCCCATCGAAGCTGTTGAACCAGGTCATGAGGACGTAGTCTAAGACATCGCTGAGTGACAGACCACTTCAGACGTTCAGCAGAGCGCCATAGCACAAAGTAAGGAGGATCAATGTCATGGAGCTGAAAAACATGGCTGTTGCAATGTCGAGTGAGGTATGAGTGGTCCATGAGGATCTTGCGCAACATCACCGTAAAGGTTTGATTGAGAAGTTTGGCCCCTTTAGTGGTGATCCCTGTGCTGAAAATGCCATATGTTGCAATAGGTAAAACACAGGTATGCCACAATCGGAGTTTGTCTTTCATGGCCAGTCCTCGACGTCCTGTGAACCAAATCTGAAGCCTTTTAAATGCGACAGTGGCAAGTTGAACTCGATGCCTGATGGTGTGGTCTTCCAATGACCCATAGCTGATCACAACACCCAAATATTTTGCACTGTCAGTCACCGGAATGGTGAAGCGATTGTCACCAAACGAGAGTTGCAAGGAGTGACCGCTGCTGCGTCGCACAAAAAGTCTGTGCCTGACCTGTTGTTGTGAGGTCCCTGTCATGGTTAAAAGAATCATGGATTTGTTCTCATTGATCAAGAGTCCATACGATTGCAACATCGAAAGTATGATGGCAAACTTGTGGAGAATGTTCATCAATTCATCTTCTGAATGAAAAATATCGCCAGCCTGAATATCATCAGCGTACAAATTGATGTTGGATTGTAACCAGGAACGATCAATGAGGTCAACAAGGTCAGTCAGGATCAAGGCCATGGTCGAGTTCCACAACCAGGGGGCCGCTTTGCAGCCCTGACGCAGGCCCCGCTCCACAGGAATTTGGGTGGTGGCATCGCCTGTTTGGATCATGTAGCTGGTTTCACTGTGCCAAGACGTCAAAAGTTTGACAACCTCTTTACGCACCCCCAGTTCATGTAGCCGGTCAAACAGTCGATTTCGCTCAATGGAATCAAAGGCACGACTCATGTCCACCAGGAGCTGGATACCACCACAGAGTTTGTAGCGGGCATGATGAGATGCTCTCTTGAAGGGGGTAGATCGTTGTGATGAAACCAAAGACCTAGCCACCTTACAATGCTGGGCCACTCTAAGGAGGGAATCTTGAGTAGAACGATGGGGGAGATACGCCCAAAGCGGCCAATTGATCATAGAGTCCAAAGAGTCTGATTGTCCAACTTTACAGAGCACTCCCATCAGGGCCTTACCTAACGGTTCTTGGAGGGCAATCGGCCTCAATGCAGATGGTGCCGTAGGAGGCTTACCAGGTTTCGGCAGCCAGAAAAGCAATCCATGTCGCCAGCAATCAGGAATGACTGGGGTTTCCTGATACCACCAACATTGCAGAAGGGAGAACAACCATGGAGTCACATGAGGAGCAAGGGCCCTCCAAATGGCACCCGGCACAAAACCTGGAGCTATGGCTTTGGAAATGGGAATGCTCTCTAATGCCTGTCTCACATCCTGCTCAGAAAAAGGCGTACCTGCAATCACTTCTGGGTGTGTAGGTTGATTGGGGTGGCCCGACCATACATCCCTCACAAAACGACACAAAATAGAATGTTCCTCAATGGCCGTGGCCAGTTGGCCCTGAGCCGTGCGCAGTTGCATTCGTCTGCGTGGTTGTTTTGGGGCAAAACGATTAACAATCTGGAATAATTGAAAGGTGTTATGTCGATCAGCCGCAAGCTGGGCTTGTGTGATGATATCCTCAAAACGATGTCTGCGCACTTGTCTGGAGTGTCTGTGCTGCAGCTTGGTCAGTGCACGAAACCTGATGAAGTGGCGCCAAAAATGAAAAATGGTCGGAAGGCCAAAAGAGCCGTGAGACATCTTCTGAATCAATGCAAAAAAGGCATGTCGATGATCCCATTTACAGGAAAAATGGCTGGCAGTGGCTTTCCAAGCTGCTAGGGTAGAAAGGGATGGGGGGGAAAAAAAGACTGAAAATCCTGTAGTACTAGTTCATGCAATCCTGTAAGAATCTTTGAGTCATGAGGGTCTGACTGGCGCATGTAAGCACAGGCCGTGTCCACAGTCTGTTGCATGAAATCCCGCCAGGTGCTATTGTCCTCCAAATAAGCAAGACGACACTGCACTCGTTGCTGAAAGGTACAGCTGGTCTTGGGTCTGAGGAGGGGTGCCGGAATCCAATATTTGTTGAGTTGAAACAGAATGGGACAATGATCTGCGTAGTCATGTTTTATGGACGCATCCCAAAGATACTTGACATCGCGCGAGAAACCATCGGCCATATGTTGACGTGTGAGACAGAAATCGATTCTACTATGGCTGTTAGTTCCAATGAAAGTTGGACCTAGAGATGGATTCCACGAGTTGAGCACATTGAGATCATAAGTCCGTAAAATATGAATAAAGATATCAGAATCACCATGGACAGTACCCTGAGACATCTGATCGTGCCAGTGGTATCCCGGATATCCCACCTGCGGGGTGGTCGTCGGCAGGGAGCAGTTGAAATCGCCAGCAATCGCCAAAACATGTCGAGTAGCCAGATGGCTCAGGACAGATTCAAAGCACTCCCACCAACGAAGCCGGTCTGTTTGTCTGGCAGTGTTGGCCTGGAAGCAAAATTGGTAGCAAGCCAGGAAATCCAAATATCTCGGAGATAGCCGTAGCTGGACATGAACCAATCGGCCTGGCATACATTCTCGCCAGCGAAGATCTGCGCTCAGCTTGCGGCATATCATGATTAAAATACCACAGCCCCGAGATTTGGGGTCACCAGAGTGCACATACTGCCAATGTTCGTCCTGCCACTCTCCTGACCAGCTCCATCTTGTTTCCAATAATGCCAGTGCTGAGATGTTCTGGTCCAATGCCCAGAGACGGATTTCATCCAGCTTAGACTGCGAAAGCCCAGCCGCGTTCCAGGAAAGAAACTGAAGGCGTCGACGGCTCTGATGTTTGCCATTGTATTGTTGCAAGTCTCGATGTCCTGACGGTGTCAGACGAGAAGGTGTCGGAGGTACTGTTTCAGGCACTTGCAGCTGAGCCGGAAAGTCCGAAGGAGTGAATTTGTGTCCCCGATACCAGCAAATGCCATCGCGGCATGCACGGCGAAAGGCTCGTTTGATGCTTCTCTTCTTGATGGATTTGTCCTTGGGCGCCCATCTCAGAAGTTCTGAGGTTGCTAAAGGCCGCGTTCCATGTCGCTTCGCACCTAATGTAGGAAGGTCCTGAAGCCATGGTGGAGAAGGTGCTTCAGTAGTCACCATGGATTGACTACAACCCTCACCCCCGTCGCCAGTCAGAATTGTGAACACAAGCACTGTCAGAACACCAACCAGTAGTGTCCAACAGAACGTCCAGCGACGCCCGGACTTGGGACCGGGTATGCGACCACGAGTTGGCGTCCAAGCAAGTTGAAGCCGATGTCGAAACTCCGAGCTGAGGTTGTCAAAGTCGTGGGAAAGCCTCGCCTGTTGTGGTGCACCAATGTACCCAAAAATGGTTGCTACAGGGGCAACGCCAATGTGAATTGCCAGAAAAACCAAAGTGTAGATGGCCCCACGGCAGAAAGCCTCCAAATAACCGTGTAAGAAAATTGGAATTGAAATCGCCCCACCGCAGAAGGCAGCAATAAACGGTGTATCGCCTGACGCAAGGCTGTAGTGTGAAGACAACACCAGCGCTGCAATGGCTGAAGTCGCAATGAATCTCCAAGTGACAGCGAGTCGAGCTGAAGTGTCAGGAAAATCAACTGAAACACAATCACCAGTTCTTCTCACACTGCCCAATGGAAAAGGAAAAATTACAGAATCTGTGTGATTGGCTGCCCCACAGCAGAAGGCACAAAGCAATCGTAGCCAGAGCAAAGTCGTCGTTGTGCCCACAGATGCACCACCCAGGAAATGGCAAACAGAGATGACAAACCGAAGGAAAAAGGAATGAAAACGGCTCCTTCTGCAGCTAGTTGCAGGTCCAGCTTAGGCGCTGCGCTCGTGGCAGCAAAGGGGCTTGTGTGTGTGTGTGTGTTTGTTTGTGTTGGTGTGTTGTGGACCCGGCCTTTTGTTTCATGCGGCCGAGCTTTTCTTTGCCGATGTTCTTATCCAATGCCGCCTGTCGCAAGATTAGTTTGCAGACACGGTGACAAGCAATGATGCTATGAATTGCCGGTGCTCTGAATGCCTAGACATAAACGAAGCCGCTCGTGTGCAGCTGCCTGCTCTCGAAGCAGCACATGACTACCGAACTGGCAAAGGTCGACTCCCATCGCCGGACATTGGCGGAAAGGCTTGGCACTGAATTCAATTTCTTCTTGTTACCTCACGTGTTAACTGTCTACTCTATTCCAAATACGTTGCATGACGACTTCAATTGGTGATCGAACCCGAATCTTGCTACCGTGTCGACGCGCAGGAAGCTTGGTCGAAGCACATTCTCAAAAAACAGCTGAGGCACTTACTTGGTTCAGCACCCGCGGGAGAAGCTATTCACTGCAAAGCAAATCGGATGCTTGACTTTGAAACACTCTGACGAAAGTGTAAGTTGGTTCAAACAAAGGGATGCGTCCTGCTGACCGCAAGCCCCTTAGTCCAAGTCCAAGCCTAGGATCACATGTTCTTTCTACAAGTTGTCTATATGGAACCTTCAATATTTGATAAGTGGCTTTGCATTGAGTGTGTGTGTTGCGAGTGGCAGACTTCCCTTACGCTGCCCTTCCTTTTATTCCTATGATGCGGTGTGAAACCGCGGGCCGCTTGCTCCAGCTCAGGCCCTCAACCTGGTGGCGTAGATGTTCGAGGTGACAGAGGGGCCCCTCTCAAAGAATCGAATCTTGGATGCGGCGGATGGCTCTCACTGTCGCCTTTGCAGTTGAGCAAGAAGGGTACAAGCAAAGAAATAAAAAACACAGAAAACACAAATTAGTAAAAAAACGACAAACGCAGAGGAAAAAATGCACCCCCAAAAGTCCAACCATTCAAATCAATATGTACCCCCTCCATGACAAAGCAGTATGATTTTTGAAGGTAGAGCAAAAACACAAAGGCATGCAAGGCAAAATCCAAGGTGCTTCTCCACTTGGCTTTGCCCTGAGTGGCACAGGAACAGTTCTGAACGGCATTGCCTTCTCTGGAATCTTCGGACTGGCCATCTCAGGAACCTTCGGGCTGGCCTTCATTAAAGGTGGAGGGAGTCTAGCCTTTTTCCTCGGCGGCGGCTGGATTGAAGCTTCCTTGGCTTGCTGTGGGAGGGCAAGAGTCTTAAAACTATTAAATCTATCAAGCCCTGGATGCGAGGGTGAAAACAATGAAGACTTTAAGGAGCCAAGTGCTTGAACAAAATGCCATGTACTAGGCCACAAGAAACAAGGTGAATGTAAAAAGCAAACACAAACGACTGGGATTAGCATCCGTCGTGGGAATATTTGCCAACCAGTATGCTTAGTATACATCATGGGGTAGGAAATATTCCCATAATGGATGATAACTTACAAATATGGCTAATTCCCAATACTATATTCCAGGGATATTTTCCAACCAGCTGTATGCCCCAATAATTCTTCGGCAGAAGGCCTACAGTCGTGCGATTGATCATCGGCTTCGCTGACTTGAATGAGTTGTAGACAAAAACCGCGCCCCGGCAACACACCGCAGAACAAAGCAGTGACGCACCAACATTCAGAGGCTCCACCAAATTAAGACAGTGTTCTCACCTCTATAGAAAGGATGGTCGCCAAGTAGAGGCTGCAGAGTCCTCCAGGCCTCGTCGGTTGCAGCAACATACCAACATTGGTTTGGCAGGTCAGTTCACAACACAGGGCATCCATTCTTCGGTCATGTAGATGCAAACCTGCAGGCACGGCGCATATACGCGTGACCCAGCAATACACTCACACATATACGGTGTTCCGCGTGCATTGTCCACTAAGTCTCTGGCGACCATTTCGATTCAGATTATGCATAGAAAATATCCGCGTGCACTGCTTTTGCTTCGACGACAAGAGCTATTGCTTACACACGTAGTAAACACTAGCATGAAAGATCGCCGTTCATTGCTCCAAGAATGCGAGGTTTGCTTAGCTTCGACGCTTAATAAGCCCTTTGTGTAATCAAAGACACTATCTGCTTCTGATTTGTTTCGAGGCAATCGGCTACAGACAGTGCGTGTATCAGCCAGATTTCATGATTAGCCCAACATATCAACATGGCCTGAGGATGCCCCAACGTACCCCAATATGGCCCAACATATCCCCAACATGGCCTGGCCCAACATGTGCCCAACCTGGCCCAAGACAGGCTCTATGTGGCTTAACATGACCCAACATAACCCTCAATATTACCCCAATATGGGGCTATCTGACATTGCCCAACATGGCCCAACATAGCTCCAACATGGCCCCAAAATGCCATCATTGCAGCAACCGTGCCCCAACATGGATGATTGGTGCGATCCCACTTGTTCAATGAATGCTCATTCCGTAATGTGTGTGTGTGTGTCTCTAACATGCCATGTTAATAATTAACATATTTGATATTGTTGGAGGATGTTAGAGGTTAAGATTGTTAATCAACCAGTTCATGGCAAGCAAAAAAAATGCATGCCTGTGTATCTGTAAATCTGGCGATTGCCCCTGGGCTCCTGCCGAATTCATGGCCTGGCCAACCTTTGATACCCTGCCATGGTAGCACTGTGGTCGCAAGTCCCTTCTCAAATGCGATGCAGGTCAAAACAAATCGGACAAAAAACGCCGGGTCATTCATGAAAAATGTTCGATCCAAAACAAAATCATGAAGTGGTACATCTATGGTCGCCCAACATCCCCATCATATGTTGGGCAGTTGGCTGCGATGCCATCCAATTCGGTGGTGGACCCTTGTTTCTACTGAGCAAAGTCTGATCAGTATTCGTTCGTCTCGAAGGAACTGTGTTGGTCCTGGTTTCCTATCAAAACCACCCCTGACCAGGTGAAGTCAGCCATAAAATTCTATGAAATTTCCCGAGGTACCACCGACTGATTGCGAATTCCAAGTTTCCCTTTGAAGAGCTCTTTGGTTTTGGGGTCCTGATCACAGCACAGCGGAACAAAGCTCTTTGGTGCCACCGCACTGGCAACACCATGATCCATGAACCTTCTCAGCACCTTCGAAAAAAGAGTTCAACAAACTCAGCACAACCTGGGATCATGACCCGAAGCAGGAAAATCATGGAAAATCCATCATCACGAGCTAAGTCACTAGCAAATCACGCCCTGGAGTCTCAAAACTGGGAAGTTCCCAGCTGTGAAATTCTGTGTACCACCGGAGCAGCTTCCGAGTTTCCCGACTCGTAGAGCATTGCCAAACTCAAGGGCGCTCAAGGTTTCATCGGAGTCCTGGCCCAGATTGCAAAAAACCACCGGAACAAGGAGGGGAACCAGGACAACTGGTTGAAGTCTGGGGTTCTGTTGACTTCATCTGCCCAAGTGCAGATGTACAAGTCTTGCAACTTCTTGAGTTTTGAGATTGCAGTCTTATTGAGAAGCACTGAGTGAAGCGAATTTTCGGGCGCATGTTTGGGTTCATGCTGGAGGCCGAAGCATTGGTCGACTTTTGCAGGTCATCGGGGGCATTGAAACATTGCTAAACTACGCCAATGTTCGTTAAGCAATAGTATACCATCCATCCCCAATTCAAATAAATGGATGCTACTAGTACAAATCAACAAAGTAGTGGTGGTTCATTGGTTCATGATTGCTTTACTAACATTATGTGACTAGAATACTGTAGTCTTGAATTGGGGATATTGTGTCACCCCCCATCTTGGTCACAGATTGGAATACCCACACGCACCTCATCTGCACTTCGAAAGATCTGTTCGCACACCTTCCGAAGAGTCTTGTGGGTCAGCAACCTCGGGGGTCATGGGAATGTCGGGCCCTCGGGCTCAGAATTCAACGCGAATGGAAGAACGAATGTCCACCAATTGGTTCACATGTTGGGAGTTTACATATGTCATATCACAAGATCAATCATTTGGGGGACCCCAAAACAACATGGTAAAGAACCAAGGGGTACATTTCACTGCTGTGGACAGGGGCCGCTTGTTTCTTCAGCAAAACGTTGAGATACGGAGAGCATCAAAAACAACTGCCAAAGTTACCTGGTTGGTGGTTTCAACCCCTCTGAAAAATATGAAAGTCAGGTTGGATCATCATCCCAACTATCGGGAAAAATAAAAATTCATGTTCCAAACCACCAACCAGTTTACCTTAAGTAACGTCCCTGGTCATTGTACGTCCAAAAAAGTACGTGGCTCAACGAGTGTTGGGACCGCCAAGATTGTGATTGGTTGAAAGGAAAATGGAAACCCCAAACCATGGCTCTTGACCCCTGTCTAAGACAAGGGCTGATATCGGTGATATCGCTTTCAAAGTTCAGAAAAACACATCCGGGAGAATCATCTGCCAATCTTGAGCTGTATGGGTTGTCTGAAAATAGGCTACCCAAAAAGAATTGGTGCTTCGAAAAACCTGTCATTTTGCCGGTCAAAACCATGGCAACTGCAGGAGACACCGTAATTACTGTATACAAAAAATGTTCGGACCCAAAAAAAATGTTGGTGATCACATATGCCATGATATTTGCGTTATCTCCATGTCCCAAAAAATCACGGCTTTTCCACCAGCAAATAGGTGGTTTCTTAAGTCATGAGGGATCCCCAGTCATCACCATGGTTGTTTCAATACTCAGTCATGGTCATCCATGACGACTGGATGATGCAACCCAGTGATTACCGATACATTAGTGATTACCCATATAATTCCAATCAAAAATCAATTACTATATTCCATATTTCACTAATGACATCATGGAACTATAATTTTCCATAGTAATGGAATATACCCTCTGGTAATTTAACATAGCTATTGAAAATCACCATTTTTAATGGGAAAATCCACTATAAATCACCATTTTCAATAGCTATGTGTATGTTTACCAGATGGCAATGGAACTACCATATTCCATATTTCACTTGACTCCATCGCCTCCAACCATTTGGGCCAAGGCGGCCCTTCAATCTCCTCACCCTTGCCCGTGCGCGCCCTGATGATCGCTGAGCCCTGGTTGATGGGTGAATTTAAGTTGAGACTTAACCATCAGTTATAGTGCTTTGATATGGATTAAACTAGGCTTTTAAACCATGTTTTTGTTAAGTTTCGAAGATAGGACAATATAACTGATACATCATGGTTGATCCTGGTTGATGGATTCTTGCAAAGGATTCTACTACCGTAAATTATTGGGTATTATGATGCCCAATAGGGAAACCTGTCAACCAACTAGTCGTGAGATGGGTCCCAAAACCTCCTGTGGCAATGACTGGTTCTTTGGCTCCTCTCTAGGTGATTTGGGCAATGAGAAAAACAGAAATGGCTTTGAGTGGTCAAACATACATTTAAATTTAAACATGTATATATATATATAGAAAACTACCAGCAAAGAGAGATCTGACGACAAAAGCAAGACTTTGAATCAACATCCGATGTCATCGAGACATATCGAGACTAAGTCATAATACTGGAAACAAATCATAGAGTCATAGAGAAAAACTCTTCAATTTTGTAGATCATGGTAAACTAACATAACTATAACTATGGAAAATCACAATTTTTAATGGGAAAACTCACTATAAATGGTCATTTTCAATAGCTATTTTGACATAACCAGAGGGTATTCCGTTTGATCATGGAATTTTATCAAATCAGGGGCATCAGAGCTTCGCCAAAAATCTCAGAGGCCCAGCACTTTTCAGGGCACTGCGGCACCTGTACTCCAAGACCACTGGTTTGAGCTGATCCAGGATGAATTCCTGGCAGAACGAACAGTGTCGGTGTTTTTTTCGGTCTGAAAATGGCAACTTTTTCATGGGGACAATGGTTTTTTGGCATTGTCTGAAATAGGACTGATACATCTATAGATTTTCTAGGTATGGCATAGTCTATGTTATAATGGTATATGAAATAGGAAAAATACCATGGTCTGAAAATCGCGGATTTTTCAAACCCCAGGTTATGGCAGTCTGCGGAAGGGACTGCCATAATGATAAATCATGGGGTTTGACCTACACCCAAAAAAACAGCAACGATGGGAGATCAGTTAAGCGACATGTTGTTCTCAGATCATGAAACGGTATAGCCAGGACACATTGGGAAACGTACATAGAACCCATCTGTCTCCGCGTTTTCAGGCTTTTACACCCTGTAAAACCTGGTCTTCCCAACCCCCCGTCGCACTTTCGAGACCTGCATCTTTGCTGCCCAACACCCCACATACAAGGTGGTTTAACTGGCTAAGCAAAATTTCCCACAACCGGTTGGAGCAACCCTGATGTACAAATGATCCTACAAAAGGGCTCAAGCAATCAGTTCACCCTTCCGACCCTTCTCTAGACAGGGCCATCCCATTGGCTAAACAGAAACTACATCCTGCAGATCAGATTCTACACCCATGAAACACACCAACCGACCTACAGTACCATGGCAAGGTTAGTAGATTCCTCTTCCTATCAACAAAGAATAAGAAATTGTTACAGGATGTCGGATGATCGATTCCTGATTTACCTGATCTTCCTAGAAATCTTCCTAGAAATCTTCCTTTCAGTTTGGGCAGAAGCCTCCAGGAGATCTGCGAACTCATCTGGCACGTAGGTCTCTTTCAGGTACACCACCTGCTTTCCGTTGTAGGCTGGGGGATTTGACCGGATAGAATCTGGGATACCATGGGATATTCAATGGGATAAGGGCATATATATATATGTATATACATATATATATATATAACTTATATAACCATACGCAATAGAGACTTAGTGCAACTAACAGGCTTAACCACCAAAAATGGGAGTTGAACATGGTCTAAGCATCCTGAAATGAGGATAGATAGTGGAAAACCATAGTTTTTACACCATCAAAGGGTTGAAATCTCCTAGTTCTTTCTTGAAGTCCCCATGAAACACCATAGAGATGGTGTCAAAAATTGCGAAGAGAACTGGGAATGGGTCAATTTGGGTTGCCTTCGCACCGGACGCCATTGAGAAGTGCTGAGTTCATCCAGATCTAGATATATATATATAATTATATATATATATTCTCTGTGTAACTAAGTTGGAAGTGAGAAACGTCCACCTTTTTCTTGCGAGTTTTCCCGTGGAAAATAGGCATTCCAACCACTCCTATGGCCAGGGAAATACTGCAGCTCCCTGTCCGCCGACTAAGGCGACATGCCCCAGGGGAAAAACACCGCCGACGTGGCATTGATTATTTTGTCCAAAGAAAACCTTCTACAAGTGCCATGTTTGACTACCAGAGGGGCGTTCACCAGTTTTTTTTCCATTCATTCTCAGTGTTGATGGTCAAATTTCAATTTGTGAATGGTCAAATACCCAGCTGTTCATCGTGTTTGGTGATCCTCCCATTCTCGAGCTCCCCAACAGCTCCTAGCGCAGCGAGAAACCTCGGGAGATCTCAGATTTTCTCGGCGAAATGCCCTGCATTTGACAAAGGCATCATAAATGGAGGCTTTCCCGCTGGTCTGCTTACATGGATGGTACCCTCTGGTAAACGTTTACATAGCGAACTGGAAAATCACCATTTTTTATGGGTAAATCCACTACAAATCACCATTTTCAATAGCTTTGTGTATGTTTACCAGAGGGTATGCGAAAAAAGTCATGACATGACCAAAGAACTGGATCACACATAGCCAAAAACTGCGGGTTTTGACTGGTCTTCATTTTTGACCACAGCCATCACCTTGATTAGTGATGTGCTCATTTCCACGCCACCCTTGGTCACAGCCTTATATATCTTATATTTCAGCTTGGTACCACCTCCCCATTCAGTGGATCTTCCAGCAGCAAACTTTCCAAACCTTCCAAAGCTCGACATGTAGGGAGTCCTTTCATGGATTAGAATTGAATTGGAATTGCAATATGTAATCCCCATTAAATTTAAGAGAATCCTTGGAATTAATTGGTATTACGGTATTACTATAATCCCATTCCAATATTTAATTGGAATTATAGTTTGTAAGACCCCTCTATCCATTTTGAGTTCTATCCCCATACCCATCAGTCTGTGAGACTCTGGGACTCTGCCATGTCATCCCCTTGCCTTTTTTTTGGCCCATGAACAAAGCCTTGCGTATGAACGTCCCATTTGGAAAGGATTCTCAGTGGATGTTTACCGCTTCTTATCAAAACAATGTTGCTGGATGACTTCAGGCTCCAGGTTCTTTTGGCTCAGTAGCTATTTCAATTAGAGGAGTTGAACCCAGGCAAAATCCGCTGAAAAAACCCTGCCCGGTTCTCGTTGGTTCCTTGGGCGACCCTCGCTCCACGAAGTTCAAGCGCATGTGGCTGAAAGACGACACCTTCGCACCAGGGAGCCAAGTCCCAGCAGTCCCAAGAGAGCCATGTTTGGGATAGGATGAAAAATAGGAAAACAAAAAAAAGAGAACCAGAGAACCAACAAATAACTGGGGAGAACAAATTCTGAAATGTGTATATTTTGTTATATCCAGATATTAGCAAGTTAAACCAATGGATCCAACCATCGGAATATTAACCCATCAATCATAGGGGTTACATGCTTTCTTTCACCCTCTCAGAATGGCTGGGTCGAAATCCAGGGCTCTGGATGCACAAGGGCAATGTCAACCCTGGATGAATAAACCCCTAGCCCCGCTGTAAGCTACCATAAAAAAGTATCAAATCATGACATAAAAGGGGGAATACCCCCTAATTGTCATAAACCATGGTTTATTAATCCGGGCTTGACATTACTTGCTGTATATGGCTAGTATATCTTTGTACATGCAGCTACATGCACACAATTCCCTCAAACTGGGGTTGGATATAGACTACCTGACTACCTATCTGCCGTAAGATCCACTTGTGGATGACTTGATCCAGAGGGATACACTGATCTCTAACCCGAAATTCTGAATGGTTTTAATCTGGTTGGTGGTTGACCTACCCCTCTGAAAAATATGACGAATCGTCAGTTGGGATTATGAAATTCCCAACTGAATGGAAAGTCATAATCCATTCATGTTCCAAACCACCAACCAGTAATGGTGTCTACCAAAATGGATTTTTTGGGAACCAAAAAATGCTGCCCATGCTGCCCACACATTTCAGTGGGCCATGTCCGGCGCCAACTTCTGGTGCTGAAATCCCATAGCCAAAGTGGATGGGGGTTTCCGAAACACGTCATGGGGGTAGCCATGACTAAAATGGATGTTTAATTACATTCTTGGTATTGAAACCATTTGAAACCTATGGTGACTGGGGATCCCCTGTTTTAAGAAGCCCCCACATGGTTCCCTAACATCTTTTGATGATGCATGGAGTTAGCGTTGTCCATTCAAAAGCCGTCCACACCCCATGCAATCTTCGGACATGTCCCGTTGGTAAGATGAATCTCCGAACTGGATCCAATATAACATGACATATCATAAAATAAAGTAACGTAAAATGATATGATTTCATTTACATCGAATGTAGATGTCGTAAACTTTCATATCCATTAATATCCAACATAGAATTATTGTCAAAAAAAAACATATATCATGTATCCACTATATGGATATTTAATATCCAATCACAGCATTTCGTTCTTCATGTCCCAACGGAATTGGAAGTTGCCAGCTCCCCACGACCTCATCGACATTCCACTCTGATGCCAAGTTGAAGGCCCTGGAGGTGTGGGTTCGCATGAAGCTTTGGTCGTAGGCATCACCTCGCTTCGGTCCACAGAAAAAGGTGGACGCCCCCCGATGATTCGAACTCCGCCAGAGGTTGAAGCACAGTTCACTTGCTTTGAACCGTTGGGTTTATGGAGAATGAGACTATAGTTAAGGAGGGTTCGAAACCAACTTATAACGTTTGGGGACCCGACCCTGTGTGATCCAATGAGCTATGCTTGCGTTTCGTTACCTGATGGGTCAATCTTGTAGAGATCGTCCAAGCACGCCAAAGGATGGGTATGGGACATCTGGGACATCTACCCTGAACATGAGGCAACCCCCAAATCTGGTTATATAATCATCACTGCTTAAAATGGTCAGTTGGTAAATCCCGGCGCAGCGGCGCATCGTCGCTGGTTTTACCACGTCTGGCAACCGGACAGCTTAGAGCCCGAGACAGTGGATCTACACGGATAGCCCCATCGTTCGTTGCCTTTACAGACGAAGCGCTGGGGTGTGCGGCGGATTTTTGGGGGTCCCAAGCCGCCTCTGTACATGGTGGTGGTGATGTCGAAATTCTGTACATCTTTCAGACATGTGAAAGGGCTCGATCTTGCGGGCGGTACAAGATTCGAGCCCTGTTAATTAGGATTTGTTTGACTTGCGCTCGCGCACCACCGCCAAGTGCTTCCTCGGAGCTCAAAAAGGTTGGAGAAAAAAGACAATGGTATAGTTGAAATTGGAGGGGATTGCTTCAAATCATCAGCTGACAACTTCAGGGATCTTGAGGGAATTCCTACTGAGTTTGTAGCTATCTTCAAGTGGGGCACTTTGCCCTCGAATCCACAGGCCTTCCCAGCGCGTCGCCAGCTTGGGTTTTCAAACCTTACTCGTCTAGGGTCAAAACACAAGAAACACCTTCAAATATCATCGTCATCGTCATCGTCATCATCATCGTCATCCTCCTCCTCCTCTCCCCCCTCCTCCTCCTCCTCCTCCTCATCATCATCATCATCATCACCACCATCGTCATCATCATCATCATCACCATCCCCATCCCCATCATCATCCCCATCATCATCATCATCATCATCACCACCACCACCACCACCACCACCATTACCATCACCACATTCCTGGACATTTACGGTACTTTGTCATTGAATGATTGGGCCAAATAAGTTCACAAATCCAAAGAATGGCCCAATAATCCCCCGCCCCGCCCCTCATATCAAAACACCTCCATCCCCCCTGAGTCACCCAAAAGCGGACGAGTTGCTTCAGTTGGTCCAGTGACGCGAGTTTCAGTCCCATTGGCATGTCATCTCCAAGCCTGTAGTATTGCTCCTCGGAACCAGGGTCTTGCAAGGTGCCCGTGGCGCTGTGGGTTTCAGACATTTTTGGGACTGTTTTGGGGAGTTGAAACTGCCGCGCATTGAACAGAAATTCTTCCGGATGATGCGGGGTTAGACATCACTTTTCCCCGTGTTTGGAAAGGGTGATGTAAACTCACCATTTGAAATGAGGGTTTCAGTGGTCGGACACCCGTTGAATCCTTATAAAAAAATACCATTTTTAGCTGCCTATACCTCAATAAAACCCAAGAACTATAGAAGATTTTCCCATGATATCCCATGATATCACATGGTATCCCATTCCAGTCATGAAGAAAATCCCAATTTTTCTCATTGAACTCCCAATTCTTCATGGTAAAACCACCATCTTTGAGTTCTATCCCCCATTGTTCCCAGTTCAATCCCAAAAAACATCATCTTTTCCAAGTGCTAGACTTCAATCACCCAGTTTCATCATCAAATCACCCAAGATATCCCAGTTCATCTTCGTCACATCACGAGTTTCCCATGGTTTTCCCATGGTTTTCCTGGGTTTTCCTATGGTTTTCCTAGGGTTTATGCTTTTCCCATGGTTTTCCCTGGTTTTCCCCTGGTTTCCCCCACCGGTTGCCCTCGCGAACCACCGAGGCGCGGTGATGCGGCCCAGCAGCTCCTCGCGCTGGCGCTGCTCCGTGAGCTCGGCCTGCCGCGCCCGGGAGATGCCGGGGGCCTCACCGCGATGGAGATGACGTCAGGGTTTAATGGTATTTTATGGTAATTTACCATAGGAAAACCATAGGAAAATGGTGGTTTAATGGGATTTAATGGGATTTAATGGGATTTAATGGGATTTAATGGGATTTAATGGGATTTAATGGCACTTACCCTCTGGTAAACGTTGACATAACTATGGAAAATCACCATTTTTAATGGGAAAACTCACTATAAATCACCATTTTCAATAGCTTTTTGTATGTTTACCAGAGGGTAATCAATGATTAATGGGATTTTAATGGGATTTAATGGGATATATGATGGTTAAACCTCCTATCAATGGGATATATGATGGTTAAACCACTATTAACCACTATTATAATGGTTAATAGTGACTAATAGTGGTTAATAGTGGTTAAAATCAGTGACTAATATAATGGTTAATAGTGACTAATCAATGGTTAATCACTATTAAACCACTATTATAATGGTTAATAGTGACTAATAGTGGTTAATAGTGGTTAAAATCAGTGACTAATATAATGGTTAATAGTGACTAATCAATGGTTAATCACTATTAAACCACTATTATAATGGTTAATAGTGACTAATAGTGGTGAATAGTGGTTTAATCAATGGGCATGGGCTACAAATATCTATGGCTATTGTATCAATGAGAATTCCAGGATCCAACAGATGGAGGTACTGACTGTACCATATGTTTGGCCATATTTTGTGGGGATATTCCCTTACATAGGCCCAAAAAAAGGCCTTATATATGGTAGGTACCTCCAATTTAGGTTCCTAAAATGGCCATTGATTTATGTTGATTTATATAATGGATGTTACCGGGCCTGGTAAACATACAAAAAATTATGGAAAATGACCATGTTTTCATAGGTAAATCAACTATTTCTATGGGCCATGTTCAATAGCTATGTTTGTTTACCAGGCCGGGGGTTTACTAATTGGTGTTTGACCTACCCCCCTGAAAAATGATGGAGTTAAAGTCAAATTGGATCAAAAAAAACAACTATTGGTGAAAATATTATAAAAATGTTCCAAACCACCAAGCAGATTAATGGATGTTAAAATGGTGAATGGTGAATGGTGAATGGTAATTGGGTCATGGTTAATGGTAGAATATATCAATATATATATATATGACATAAGATACATATCATAGATGATATATGGGATGTTTTCCCCAGGGTCGAAAAGCTATATAAAAACCCCGAGAATTCTAGGTCAATCCCTAAAAAAAGCACCGTTACAACACAAGGTAAGGTCCCCCAAACATCATATTTGTTGGTTTATAAGCCCCATGAAGACTATGATTATATTATATCCATTTATATCCCCCATAAAGCCGAGTAAACCAAGTTGTGTCTCACACAACTTAGCTATCAAAAATAAATGTATATTATGGATATGTACGCAGGGATATGAAGATGCATTCTACAGGGATCCATAAGGGAAATGTTAAGGATAATAAGAATGCATGTGTCCTTATGGATACATCAAAAACTCTTTTATCTATATAGATAAGCTACAGTGATTCAACAATATTGAATAATGTTCATACATGGATAAATGATAATGGCTTACCATGGCCTACCATATGTGTATGAGAAACCCCTCATGTTCCTAATGAAAATATAGCAAGGTTGTTGCAATCTCCAATGTCAAGGCGCAGAATTTTAATCCACGCCATCACGCCCATAAAGCCAGGCAATGAAGATGCAGTAACACTTGCAACAACCCCCATTTTGATATTGAGAATGATCATGAACCAATCAACCAACAAAATTGTGGCTTCACCAACAAAATACCGAGACAAATGATAAGCCGTCAAATCATTGCTGATATATATATATAATTATATATACATACATACATACATACATACATACATACATACATACATACATACATACATTACATACATTACATACATTACATACATTACATACATTACATACATTACATACATTACATACATTACATACATTACATACATTACATACATTAACACTACATACACTACATACATTACATACATTACATACATTACATACATTACATACATTACATACATTACATACATTACATACATTACATACATTACATACATTACATACATTACATACATTACATACATTGCATACATTACATACATTACATACATTACATACATTACATACATTACATACATACATACAGAACATACAGAACATACAAAACATTACATACATTACATACATTACATACATTACATACATTACATACATTACATACATTACATACATTACATACATTACATACATAACATACAATACATACATTACATACATTACATACATTACATACATTACATACATTACATACATTACATACATTACATACATTACATACATTACATACATACATACATACATATGCATACATACATACTGTACATACCATACATACCATAGATACCATACCATACATACCATACATACCATACATACCATACATACCATACTACCATACATACCATACACACCATACATACCATGCATACCATACATACCATACATACCATACATACCATACATACCATACATACCATACATACCATACATACCATACATACCATACATACCAGACATACCATACATACCATACATACCATACATACCATACATACCATACATACCATACATACCATACATACCATACATACCATACATACCATACATACCATACATACCATACATACCATACATACATACCATACATCCATACCATACATACATACCATACATACCATACATACCATACATACCATACATACCATACATACCATACATACCATACATACCATACATACCATACATCCCATACATACCATACATCCCATACATACCATACATACCATACATACCATACATACCATACATACCATACATACCATACATACCATACATACCATACATACCATACATACCATACATACCATACATACCATACATACCATACATACCATACATACCATACATACCATTCATACCATACATACCATACATACCATACATACCATACATACCATACATACCATACATACCATACATACCATACATACCATACATACCATACATACCATACATTGCATACATACCATACATACCATACATTGCATACATACCATACATACCATACATTGCATACATACCATACATTCCATACATTCCATACATCCCATACTAACCATACATACCTACATACCATACATACCTACATACCATACATACCTACATACCATACATACCTACATACCATACATACCTACATACCATACATACCTACATACCATACATACCTACATACCATACATACCTACATACCATACATACCTACATACCATACATACATACATACCATACATACCTACATACCATACATACCTACATACCATACATACCTACATACCATACATACCTACATACCATACATACCTACATACCATACATACCTACATACCATACATACCTACATACCATACATACCTACATACCATACATACCTACATACCATACATACCTACATACCATACCTACCTACATACCATACCTACCTACCTACCATACCTACCTACCTACCATACCTACCTACCTACCATACCTACCTACCTACCATACCTACCTACCTACCATACCTACCTACCTACCATACCTACCTACCTACCATACCTACCTACCTACCATACATACCTACCTACCATACATACCATACTACCATACATACCATACATACATACCATACATACATACCATACATACATACCATACATACATACCATACATACATACCATACATACCATACATACCATACATACCATACATACCATACATACCATACATACCATACATACCATACATACCATACATACCATACATACCATACATACCATACATACCATACATACCATACATACCATACATACCATATACCATACATACCATACATACCATACATACCATACATACCATACATACCATACATACCATACATACCATACATACCATACATACCATACATACCATACATCCCATACATACCATACATCCCATACATACCATACATACCATACATACCATACATACCATACATACCATACATACCATACATACCATACATACCATACATACCATACATACCATACATACCATACATACCCTACATACCCTACATACCCTACATACCCTACATACCCTACATACCCTACATACCCTACATACCCTACATACCCTACA